AAATAGAGTGAAAATGTGACAATTTTGTCATCAAAAACTTTCAAACAAAAATTTTTTTTTTTTAATGATGATGATGATGATGATGGAGAAAATTGCTCTGAAAATTTCTCTGTTGTCCACCGAGTAATAATAGATTGGCTGGCCAGAAAAAGAAATATAATGGTTATGAATCGAATACAGAATTTCATTTCATTTCATTTTTCGGGACAGTTTTTTCCGACAAGGGGGAGTAGTGGTGGCGGTGGTTGTGTGCAACCATAGAATTTAATCGGAAAAAAAATATCCTTTCATCGACAATTTGAAATTCTTGCGAATTGATTTTTCTTCTCCTTATACACACAACTAGCAAACCAAAAAAGATTCATTCTTGGAATTCATTTTTTTCTGGTTCGTTTCAAGTGGATAGTCATGGATTCTATTTTTTTTTTTTTATTTTGCATCAGACATGAGTACTATTTTTTGAATGTAAACATTTTGAGTGTCATAAAGATGGCACTTGAAATCATTTATTATGAATGTATGATGAGTTTTGCAAAAGAAAAAGTGTTTTTCTACATAAATAACAAAGTTTACTTAATATTGTTGATAATATCGATCCAGGATCGGTTATAGCCAAATAAACTACCGCTACTTCTACTACTACTACTGATGATGATTGATACACACACACACACACACACACCTTCAATGATGATGATATGTCATAATGATTATCATATTGAGATCAACAACAAATAAAAAAAAATTTTATTAAATTAAAAATTCCAAGATGATTTTCATTGGAAAAAAAATTCTTCTGATTCCTAGAATATTCTATTACATTGCCAATTTTCTAATGAAAAAAAAACAGAAATTCTTTTCCATTTGAATAATTTTGTTTCGAATTCTTTCTGATGTAGTAAAGAATTCTATAGAAACACCTTGTGGTGATTCAAAAAAAAAACACACACACACACACACACACACACACACATTCTAATTGTTGATTAATTGTGAGTCAAAAAAAAAATCTTGGATCGAATCGAAAATAAAAAGAAAATTTACATTTAGATGTGTTGGACAAATACTCTTGGGAAATTTTTTTTTATGCATACTCGGTTCTATTCAAATGTAAAGTGTTATATTCCAATACACTGTATACACAAAATACGAACTAGGCATTTACAATCTGGTTTTGGTTTTTCTTTTGTAAAGAATAAATTATTCAAAAATAAACACAGAATGTGAGAGAATATTGAGTGAAAATTAATCAATTTATCTTTGAATCTAGATATATGTCATTTTTATTCTGGAAAAATGTGAGAAGAGTGAGAAAAAAAAAAAAAAAAAAAAAAAACACCACCTACAATGGATGATAAAACAGAATTTTTGTGAAAAAAAAAATTTCAAGAAAGTTTTGTTTTGTGTCCAGTAAAAAAATAATGGATTTTTTCCAATGAAAAATTTACCACCAAATGTACAATTCGTACAGGCTAGAATTCCATGAAATACACGGAATTCAGAGAAACAAAACAAAAAGTTCCAAATGAACCAACGACATAAATGAATGAATGAAAGTAGAAAAAAAATTGCACAATATAACCACCAATTGGGACAATAGTAACAACAACAACAACAACAACATCAATTGGACACCGACTGAGAGAAATGAAAATGTTAATATGAAATGAAACAACAAACAAACAACAACAACAACAACAACAAGAACAACAAAAAAAATGTGAAAGATAATTGCTGCTATTACCAGAATATATAAGTTTTTTTTTCGTTGTTGTTGTTGTTGTTGTTGTTTTTCTAATTTTATTCACACTAATTCCATTTGAAATGTTTTTGTTGTTGTTGTTGTTGTTGTTCATTCTATGGTTTCTGTGATAAAAAAATGGAACACTAAGACAACCAGAAGAAAAAAATAGATGATCCAAAGAATACTGTATGTGAAATGTGAAATTGTGAGAATAAAAATAAAAGTGAATTGAAAACTTTGTAACGAAAGAAAAGAAAAAAAAAAAATTGTTTTACATCCAAAGATAAGGTATGTTTTTTTTTCATTTCATTTTTTATCGATGATTCATGAAAAATTCTTGCATTCCAAATTCTTATATGGATTCTGATTGGTATCAAAGTTGTTGTTGTTGTTGTTGTTGTTGTCATTGTTTACAAGCATTAGATGTCATATAATGGAGATCTGAATGTTATTATTATTATTTTTTTACTTTCTAGGAATTCACATGAATTTTGAATAGAATTGAAACAAACAAACAAACAAATGAAATATAGATAAAATGTGTGTGTGTGTGTGTGTGGAAAAAGAATGTGAAAATTGTCTCCCTCTCCATATATATATACGAAATATAGTGGAAAAATTGGGAAAATGAAACAAAAAAAAAAGTCTGCAAAGCAATTTGTTTTTTGCTGTTTCTTTATTCATTTCATTTCATTTTATTCTATTCATTCATTCATTCATTCATTCAAGAAAAACAAGTGAATGGAATGGAATGGAATTGAATTGAATTATGAAGAGAACGTGTGTGTGTGAGAGAAAGAGAGCGAAAAACTTGAACTTTCACAAGAATAAATGAATGAAAATAGTGTGATTCCTTTTGATAACAATTGTAATAATCAAGAATTGAGTTTTATTTTATTTTTTTTTTGTCTGTTTGGTTCCAGAAACATTGTTTCCTGTGTGCGTGCGTGCGTGCATGTGTGTGTGAAAAGAATGATCACTTGTTTTTTTTGTCGCCAACAAAAAAAAATTCTAATAATGATGATGATGATAAAAACAGAAACCTGAATCCAAACATGGATAATTATTACAGAATAATAATGATGATGATGATGATGATGACAAAAAGTGAGAATTTGTCGAAAACTGAATCCGAATTCTGTAATTTAAAGATAACAAAAAAAAAACAACAAGAATTTAATCACGGAATTCAGTGTTATGAATGAGTGAATGAATAGTGTGTATGTGTGTGTATGTATGATGAACAGGCTAAAAATAATTTTTTTGGTTTATAAATAACCAGATATCTGGTTTTTTTTACTTTATGAATTCACACTGGATATTACATATATATTGATTTCACAATAAAGAATATATGTAGATAACTCATTCATTCATTCATTCATCAAATGAATTGAATTAAATTGAATGAAAAACAAAAAAAAACATTCATACAAGAATGGCTGTAAATTTACTTTTGAATATTCTTACATTCACTGATCATGATGATAATGATGATAAGGTGCGTTTTTCTTTTAAAAATTTTCAATCACAAACAAACAAAAACAGACAAACAAACAAATGGGAAAAAAAATAATGGCACTTTGTCGCATCGATGATTATTTGCTTATGCAGAAAATTTTTTTCTTATTTTTCTTACTGAATAAAAAAATGATGATGATGATGATGATGATATGGTGTAAAATTATCTACGGTATATCATATCATCATGTGAATGAATATTTTGTTCGTTTGTGATATGAGAATATTCAGTGTGATATGTGAATGTTGTCGTCGTCGTCGTCGTCGTCTTCATTTTCATATTCGTCATCAACAACAACATTGATGATGATGATGATGATGATGATGATTATTTTGGCATACCAACGTTAAAAATGAATCAAAAAAAAAAATATAAAAACACATCAAGAATAACAAGTAATGCCAGATTATCGGTGATTCTTTTTTTTTTTATTTTACAATTTTATTCTTCATTTTACAATGATGATATTTGGTGATTTAAATGAAAAATTTTAAGGAAAAAAACCAGAAAAAACCGTTAGTTTGTTGGTTTGTTTGTTTGTTTATTTTGCTGAATCTCATAAAAATCACACCACTTTACATTACTAACAACCAAGAGAATGAGAAAAAATAATAAAAGATAACCAAAATGAAACTGTGGAAGCATCTCACATCTATGCAGACGACAACGACAACGACAACGACGACCAAAATGAAAACCACCAGAATAATAAGCTATTATTATGCTGCTGCTGCTATTACCGTACCAGAAAAAAAATGATACGAATCGAGAATTTTTTTTTTTTTTTCTTCATTCATCTTGAAATACAAACAACAGTATCCAACGGGGATATACACTATCAACTGAACACATTGAACAGCAGTAGCTACTGCTGCAGCATCAGCATCAGCAATCCATTCATATATATAAAAAAAACTGGAAAGCATAGAAAAAAAAGGATAGAAATCCTACACTGAATGAAATACTAAAGCAAGGTTAGTTAATTCAAAAAAAAAAAAAAAAAAATAGAGAATATGAATGAAATAGAGATTCGCATTTGCGCCGGTTTTTCTACTTGCATTCGTGTGTGTGTGTGTGTGTGCGTGTGTTCCATGGAATTTTCATTTGTATGCATGTGTGTGTATCATGAGAGAGAGAGAGAGAGAGAAAAAACTAGAGAATTTGAAGTGGTTGCATCACAAATATATGAAAACAATTCTGTAGAACTATGCGTCTGTGTGTGTGTGTGTGTGTGATGGAAAATTAAAATCAATGGATGGATACTTTTGGGTTTTAAATGATAAAAGTGGTCATTTTTTTTCCTGATTTATGTGAGAAACCAAACAATATTTGAATATATGATGTGATGAGATGAAACCGAAACATTTTTGGAACCATGATCCAGAATGTGATGCGTTTAAAAAAGGTTTATGATCATCAAGATGATGACATTTGACATTTAAATTGGCTCCTCATTTTTTTTGACTGGTATTCCTCGTTTTTTGATTGATCTAATTTATTTCATATTAAGTAAATGAAATGAAGACAAAATGATGATGAGAGTCATTTTGAATTCATTTTCGTTGTCGTTGTTGTTTTATTTCATCACATTATGAGAGAATTTTTTTCTCGTTTTATCGTTGTCGTGGTTATCAGAAAAAAAAGTATTTTTTGGGGGTGCTGGTGGGTGGGTGGAAATAGACATTGCCATTACCGTATATGGACAGCATTAATAAAAAAAATGGAAAATGGAATATGTGTGCTGGTGTGTGTGTGTGTGTCATTTGTATAATGAACACCTCTAATTATTTTTTTTTTTTGTGCAAACTAGAGCAAATTTTTTTTTGTTTTGTTTTGTTTTGTTTCGTTTTTTTTTGTGTTGATAATCTAATTATGTAATTTTCTCCTCTAGGGTTTGATGTGTGATTATTATGTTTCATTGTTTTTTTTTCATAATTTTGTTGTTGTTGTTGTTGTTTTTTTCATGGCTTTTCAGTATATAAAAATATCTACAGAATTTCATTATGGTATTTGATTGAATTTTAACCTCGATATTGATTATTTATTCTCTTTTTTTTTGATGCAATCGAAATTATTCAATGATCATGAACGAAAAAATGATCATCATCATCATGATGATGATGAAAATAAAAAATTTCTTGAACTACTATCGCCATCTTGTGATGGAAAATCTATTTTAGAAAATTATGATCATGATGATGATGTAGATATTGAACCACCATCTATTAATGATGTTGATATTTTATCATCATTACCAACAAAAACCATTGGTTTGATGAAAATTGATTTTGATGATTATGAAAATCAATTTAAAGCAATTGGTCAATTACGAAAACATACTGAAACAATTGATCTGATATTATCGACCATAGATGGCGGTAATGAACCGGTTCATCAATATTTTTTAGCATTAAGGGCACCAAAATTGTGGCAACGATTAATTGAATATGAACAAAAACAACAGCAGCAAAAACAAAACCATCAAAACCATCAATCAACCATTATCGATGAAGTATCGACAACAACAAAATTATTCACAGATGATGATAGAACATCATCATCATCATCATCGAATATAAAACGCTTATTTGTACCGAAAGAATTTATTGATAGATCAATTCTATTACGAATATTGATCGATTCAATGTATCGAATCAAAATAATAATAAAAATAATCATCATCATCATCAACAGTTTGATGGTGATTATTCAATTGCATGGAAATTGTTAAAAATTGCCAATGAATTTCAATTGGATTTTCTTGCTAATGATTGTATTATTTATTTTCATGATAGAATTAATCTATCAAATTGTATTGAACTATGGAAAATTGGTCTGAAATTTTATCCAAATCCATATGGTCAACAATTGGCCAAATGTTCATATCGTTTTTTATTGGCCAATCTAGTTGAGGTAAGTTGTTTGGTTTAAATGATTTTTTTGTTGTTGTTGTTGTTGTTGTTGAAGGTGAAAAAAAACTGACAGTGAAACATTTTGACATTGAGAAAAGTTTAAAAGTTTAAAAAAAAGAGAAGAGAAGAGAAGAGAGAAAACATCCACATACAATTCAGTTATATAAATATATATTCACATCTGACAAATAATTTTTCGCATTTTTTTTATGTGTCATCAGACTGACATGAATGTCACCGGTGGTGGTATTTATACCTGTAGGGTGATTAATTTGCATATTTTTTTTTTTTTTTTGTGTCATGTGAACTGTGTGTGTGCATGCACATTCATTCATTCATTCATTCATGATAAATAAATAATGAATGACAGTTATGTAAAGAATTGAAAATATTCTTGTTTTCAGTTTTGTTTTCTGATACAAGAATTTAACAGGATTAAAAGTGATTCAATGAAAATTCTGATTATGACAATGACAATAATTTTCCAATTAATTCTTGTTTACACACACACACAGAACAAAAATCATTGACTATTTTTGTTTCAATTAAATTCAATCGATTCAATTCTGTGTTTCCATCATCTCGATTGTCAATTTTTATTGATAGCAAGAGAGAGAATGGGAGAGAGAGAACTGGAATTGTGTGTGATTTTAATTGATTTGGATGGCCAGCATGATGTTTTTGATTAATTTGTTTTTTCTTATTATTTTTTTTCTCATCAATCAAATCCAATCAATGCAAACCAAAAAGCTTCTACATTCTAGTTTGTATGGTGATACAATTAAATCGCTGACAATTGGTCAATTGAAAACAATAATCGATGATAATCGATTGAATATACGAAATGAAATGGAAATTTGGTTTTTGATTCGAAAATGGATGATTGAATCGAATAATAGTGGATGATCATCATCGTATACAATATTTTTGGCCATTATTTAGTCAAATACGTTTTAATTTAATTGATCCGAAAATGATTAAAATGAAATTGATACCAGATTTATTATCATTTGATTATAATCATTGTAATGGACAATTATGGAAACAATTTCAACATAAAAGTAAGTGAATATTCTACAATTCTTGATAATATACAATTCTTGATTTTTTATTCTGTTTGTTTATTCATCAACAAATAATAGAGCCAAAAATTGATTTAAAAACATTTCGACCACGTATACCGTATCAATTATTATTTCTATATGGTGGCTACGAAGATGGCTATCCATCGTCGACAATCAAAACATTTGATATTCGTTCACGGCAATGGTTTCAATTTCGGCCATTGGATGATGATTATCCACGAGTATATCACAAGTTAGTGGTAAGTGTAAAACAACAACAACAACAACAAAAAATTAATAAAATTCCATCCATTTGATAGAATTTAGGTAATAAAATTTACATAATAGGTGGATCTGATGGTATACATTGTTTAAATATGGTAATTTGTTTGAATCTTAACGATGGTATAAAAACAATTTTGGCACCAATGTTAGAAACACGATCATTTCATTGTGCCGTTTGTTATCGTAACCGTTATATTATTGTTTGTGGTGGCCATAATGGTAATGAACGATTACGTTCAGTAGAAATTTATGATTGTAAATTAAATCATTGGCATTATTTACCATCAATGCAATCAATACGTTCAGATGCATCGGCTGTAATTTATAATGATTGTATATATGTTGCCGGTGGTATTGATTTATTTCCATTGAATTCAATGGAATATTATTCATTTGTAACAAATCAATGGACAATTATTAGTTTTATGCATATACAACGTCGTAGTTTTTCATTAATATCATATAATGGATCATTATATGCCATTGGTGGATGTACAGAAATCTATGAATATAATTGGTATGTGAATTTGATGATGATGATGATGATGATATATTATATTCTGTGTGTGTGTGTGTTTTTGTTTCTTGTCCCAGCTTGAAATCAGTTGAACGATATAATCCAATAACAAATACATGGTATTTTGCACCACCATTACCACAACATCGTATGTCTGCAAGTGTTGTTGTATTAGAAGATCGTATATTCGTAATTGGTGGCTATGATGGTTTCACTACATATCGTACTGTGTTTGTTTATAATTCAAATCAACCAATGTATTGGCAACAATTACAATATGAATTGCCCATACATTTATCTGGATCTGATGCTTGTATTATAGAAGATATGACAACAACAACGACAACGACAACGACAACGATGATGATGATGGTCAATATAATGGATTATTCTTATTATGGTCAATGTAGTAGTAGTAGTAGTAGTGGTAAAAATTTGGAAAAATTTCATAGATTAAACGATGATAATAATGAAAATGATGACATTAACAACAACAACAACAACAATCGAACAACAACAACAATCAAAAGAATATGGAATCGAATTTGTAGTGCCATTCATAATAATCATCATGATCGTTTGGTGGATTTTTATAATCGAAAAAAATTTTTAAATTATCTACAAAATGAATGGCAAAAATTTCAAAATGATCATCAATTACCAAAGGAAAAATGATCCCCTACCCCTACAAACACCATACAGACAAAAGACATTATTTTTTTTCCTTTTGATGATTGTGTTATGTGTTGGCCATTTTTCATATCGAATAAATGTGAATAAATTCCATTTGTGTTCCAAAATGAATTTGAATTGAATTTTGGTGATATTCAAAGAGAAAAAAAATTTTTTTTTTTTCTTTTTTCAACAGAAAAAAAACTGAAAACTGAAAAAATCATCATCATCATCAAACACGCTGGTTATCATCATTTTATACAATGTAAAAAAAAAAAAAAATTTTCATCGATTTTCACCATACACAACCAGCGTTTGCTATTTTTGTTTTTGTTTTGTGTGTGTGTGTGTGTGTATGAGACGCAGTTAATCGATAATAAAATTATCTACAATAAACAATCAGAATTTGAATATGTGACCTTGATTTTTATTTTCTGGCTAGAGGATTGATGCGTTTTTTTTGCTTTGCAAAATTTAGTCGATTTTAATCAACGAAATTATGATGATGATGATGATGATGGTTTTTGGTCAAAAAAAAATCAATCGAAATTTTTTTTCCTTGTGTGTATGTTAAAACATTTTCAGATGTTGAGCATTTCTCCATTTTTTTTCACTGCAAAAACGAACCCAAAAATCATCCAAGCAAGAATAGAATTTATTCATGTGACACACACACACAAAGTGTATTGAAATTCTTGATTCTTCATTCATCGTTTCGTTTACAATAAATGTTGATGGTATTATTTTAATTCTTTATTTTCTCATTCTCTATCTATCTATCTATCTATCTATTTATAGATATTATTCTTGATTTTAATAAGAATTTATTTTCATTTATTCAAAATTTCAATTCTTGTTTTGATAGAAACACACACACACACACACACACACACATGGAGAAGAATTCTGTAATTATAATTCTGTCGTTATTTTTGTGTTTCTCTTGTTTTTCTATATATATATACAATTTGTTTTCCATGAAAAATGGATTATGTTCTGTTTTTTTTCCAATTTAAACTAGAATCTAGATTACTAGATTATTATTTGAACGGAAAATTCTACATACACACAACCTAGCTTTATGACATTCATACACACACACACACACACAGACTTGTTACAATATTTAAAGAATGTCTCTCATTTTTAATAATTCATTAGAATATTCTAAGATTTTTCATGAATAAAAACTTTTATAAATAAATTGCTAATTTATTCACCTATATGCATATGAAAATAAACTTTTTTTTTTTTTCTCTCTGTTCTATTCTATTCTGAATTGGAAAACAAAGCAATGAATTAACATTCCATACATTTTTTGAATGTAAACAAATAAAAAACGTGTGTGTGTGTGTGTGTGTGTGTGTGTGTAACAGAAATAGAAATTTGAACCACAGATTTTAGATGATTTTTTCTTTTTGTTTTTATTTTGATGACCATTGTCCAACAAAAAACAACAATAAAAATTGTATATGATAAAATGTCTTCATATTCATCTTCATTATAATGTTGATTATCATCATCATTATCATTGTTGTTGTTGTTTACATCTTAAAATCATCATCAACAACAACAACAACAGCAAGAAGAATGAAAATAACATTAATGATGATGATGATGATGATGATGATAATGGTGATAACTACTAATAAATTGATAAATAATTATGGTACATGCGCAATTTTAGTGTCAACAACAAAAATGACAAACGGTAATTGCTGCTTTTCAATTTTATAATACTACTACTACTACTACTATCAATATTATGATCTAATAATATATATACAGGTGCTGATATTTCTTTGGCTAATACGTCTACTACTACTACTAACAGAATTGATGTAGGAAATGGGAATTATAAAGAATCGATGGTAACATACAACATTAGATGTCGATTATTCAATGTTCATGATGGACGGAACGATACATTTGTTAATAGTAAAAATTTTCGTAAAAAACGAAATTTATTAAATAATCAACAACAACAACAACAACAACAACAACAACAACAACAAACAACAACAAATTTGATTGAACATCTTGGAAATTTATTGAAAAAATTTCATCAACAACAACGATTATTACGTACAAGTGATAATCAATCAATAAAAACATTATCATCATCATCATCATCATCATCATCATCGATTGAAAATCAATATAAAACAAATGAAATGTCCATTATTAATGGTCAACAAGTTTTTGTTGATCATATTCATAAAATGTCAACAATATTACCATTATCATTATTATCAATATCAACAGCAGCAACAACAACAACAACAACGATAGCATATCCATTATTTGATTATCCCCATCATAATCATCAATATTCACTAAAAAATCATCATATAAAATCATTATCATCAGAAAATAATGGTCATATTGATGATGGAATACAGAATTTTGAAAATAATAATTCAACATTAAATGAATTATATGCAAATGGTAAGTTTGAAGGTTCGAATATTGATTATTTTGATATAAATGATGATTTTTTTTTTGCATTGCCCAACGGGCAATTATCTCAATAGTGTAACCACATTGCTATAAATACACATCAATCACATATAGTTATACAGTTGCACAACTTTTTTTTTCTACCAATTGGAGATTCATATTTTTTTTCTCAATGATAAAAAAAATACTAAACAAACAAACGAACCACGTAAACAAAATTATGATGAATCATGTGGTCATCAAATCATCAGAAACAGATGTATAACGGTCATTTTCACACACACACACACATACACACACACTTCTCATGGAATAAAATTTTTTGGGAAAAAAACCCACAAAAAACCATATTGATTAGCCTTAGGTCTCTCTCTCTGTGTTTGTGTGTTATTTTCATTCAATAAGAAAAATGAAATTTTGATTCAATTCTGACTGAATTGTACGAATAATAAACGAATTTTATCATTGTCCATTTTGTATTCGAGTGTCCAAGCAAACCTAAGGCCAAATAGAGCGAATTCTTTTCTCTTTTTTTTTATTGTTCGGTTACAACTTTGTGATATTTTTTTTCTGTCATTTCAATTTTGTCATCATCACATTGGAAATGGCAATTACTGGGATGTGTATCCTCAAATCGCATCTGTTTGCATCACACACACACATTGGCATAAAAAAAATCATTGTATCACATCATCATTATATTTGAAAATAAAACAGAAAAAATAGAGTAAACAAGGAAACAGAAAAAAAAATCTAAAAAAAAATCATTCCATTTGGTGTGTGTGTGTGTGAGTGCGTTTGTCCCAGTAGGTCTTCATGTTGTTTTGTCATCATGAATTAAAAATGATAGCGAATTGTCAATTGTCAAAAAAAACGAATGAAGTAGCAAGAATCAAAAAAAAAAAAAAAATGAAAATGAACGAAACGAAACGAAAAAAATTCAAATCACAAACGATATGATATGAATCAATTTTTTATCGTTTTAGCTTTCGGGCAATTAACATTGATAATAAAATGAGATTAAAATGGTGAAAAACAAAAAAAAAAAAACGAATTTTCAATTTGTTTTCATTTTTATGCACAGGAAAAACTGATCAAAATAGACCAAAATATCTTTAAAATCAATGTGAACTTTCAATCATCTCCTGTAGAAATAGTGTTTAGTTCACTTTGGTTTTGTTTTTGCAGTTCGTTTTTTTTGAACAACTTTTTGTATACAAAACATGAAGTTGTTTTCATTATCGTCATCATCCAAAGTAAATCAGTAACCAAACTTGATTCAATCATGCCGTATTTTACCATCATGCAAACACACACACACAGACACACTTAAGTATAGTGTGTCTTAACATCGATATATAAATCGTTCCATTTGGAAAGGAATTTTTTTTTCTTTTCATTCAGTTCTCATCATTATTATTAAGGCCAAAAATGAATGAAAAAATTCTGAAAGAAAGTCATTCCATTTCCATTTTGGATTCATTTATCATAACATACACATACACATACACACAGTATTTGTTTGTTTGTATTTGTTGAGCTTCTTTTTCTCTATAATCATCATCATCATCATCATCATCAACATCATTATCATCGTTTTATTCTGTCTGTTTTCTAATAGCCATGGCATTATTTGAGATATTTGAAATCTATTTTCGGTTAATTTTCTGTTCTCATTCCACTTGAATGCAAAATCGAAAAGAAAAAGAAAAAGACGAAGAAAAAGAAGCAGAAGAAAAACTTTTGACTTAATTTTCTTTTTTTTTTCATTTGTGTTTTCGTTTTTTCGAGGTTTATAGATGTTTATTTCAATGATGAATGGATTGAATTTTTTTTTGGTACCATGAAAATGATTATTTCATTAATTAGATGTGCACAGAATGTAATGTGGAAAAGTTGAAAATTATCATCATTGTTATTTTACCATCCAAATAAAATTCAATTTGAATTAATGTGGTAAAGACAACATTGAAGGATAAAAATAACATAAACAATGCAGTGAATCTGATTCTCAATTCTTAACAATTCCCTAACAACAACAACAACAACAACAAATAAAATCAGTCAACTAGAAAAATAGATTTTAAAGAAAAACAACAACAACCAGGAAAAAACAACCAGGAAAAAAAATTGTCAATACAGAATTTTTTTTCCCCATGATCATGAAAACTTTCCTGTAGAATGCTACTAATAGTCATATTCATTAGCCATTCGATTGAACAATATATTGATTGAGTAACTGATTTGTTTTGCACAATTAATTGAACGTTGAAAAAATAGGGTAAAAATGAACAAAATTCATTCAGTCACATTTTTTTTTGTTTGGCAGTCAATGAGTCAGCTGTCGAACAATTTTGATTTTGATTTTTTTTCCAATCAATTTGATCGATTCATCCGATTTGATTTTTTTTTTTTTGGTTGATATTGCATGATAAAGAAAAAACAGAAATGTAAAAAAAAAAACAGAAAAGATCAATGAAATGACAGATTTTTTCCATATATTTCTTTTTTTTCTGATCACAAAACCAAAAAAAAAGTAAACTTTTTGATTTCTGTCCATTCTAAATGATTCTCCAATTTCTTCTTTGTTCTTGGTTCTTGATTTACAGAAGAAAATGCATGTTTATTTTATTTTTTTTCTATGTACATTGACAGCAAATAATGTGTGTGTGTGTTTGTTTTGTGAACGAATGTGACGTGTGCTTGTCTGTTTATATGTTCATAGCTATTTTGTATTGAATTTTGATAAATGACAAATTTCCATTCTCTCTTTTTACCTTGATGCTAATTTTTGTTTTACCCATTTAATTAAGGAATTTTCTAACGTGCATATAATTTAATTTTACAGGTAAAACAACAACAACAACTACAACTACCACAAAATCAGAATGCTTTATATGAGAATTTTTTTTTTTTTCGTTGTTGTTGTGATACAAAGAATTTTTGTTTTTCATTCTTCAAATTTTTTTTTTTTTTGATTGTTTGTTCTCTTATACACAGAAATCATACGATTAGCAATGGAATTTAATCGCCAACGGCCATTATCCATTCGTGATTGTTCAGTAATTATAATGTATGGCTTGATTGTATTGGTATCATTATTCGGTAATCTACTCGTATGTAAAGTAATATTATTCAAACAAGCAATGCGTCGCCGTATAACACATATATTCATTGCCAATCTAACCATTAGTGATTTATTGATGACCATATTCACTATACCTATGAATACGGGTATGTATTTCTCCTTTTATTTTCACCATTTTTATCGTTGAACAAATCAGAATAAGTAAAAGCAAACAAATAACAAACGCACACACGCATGGACGCACGAATGATTTTTCACGTGAATTCTTAAAAAAAAAAAAAAAATACTTTCAATATTTACCTTTGTGTGTGTGTGTTTGAACATTGTAAAAAAATTTACCTTTTACAATAATAATATATAATGACATCACAATTCATTTTCAATAATTTTTTTTATTTTCGTTTCAAATTTAATTAAGCTCGTCAAATATTAGATGATTGGCCATTCGGTGAATTCTGTTGTAAATTAGTACCATTTGTACAGGCCATTTCGGTATATGTATCAGCATTATCAATGACAATGATTGCTATCGATCGTTATCAGGCATTAGTACGGCCATTACAACCACGTTTAATACAACGTTTACCACGTTGGATTTGGATCACATCAATTTGGCTATTTGCATCATTAATATCCATACCATTTGCAATATTCAATCATGTTGTCAATGTATTAACCATACATCCATACATACCATTTGGTAATAATGAAAAATTATTCCGCTGTAAAGCACTATATCCGGGCAATGATCCAGAATATTATCAACGTTTAATCACTTGTTTAGCATTTGTAACACAATTCTGTATACCAATGATTATTGTTGCTTATTGTTATATAACCATTGGAATGAAAATCAGTAAACGTTCTTGTATTGGTGAAACAATCGATGGTGGCCAACAAACATATTTGAAACAGAAACGTAAAACAATTAAAATGTTAATATTTGTGGTGGCAACATTTGCCATTTGTTGGCTACCATATAATCTGTTATTTATTGTTGAAGATTTTTTTCATATTAATTTCTCATTAACAATACATTACCTGATACATTGGCTGGCCATGAGTTCAATTTGTTATAATCCGTTTATTTATTTTTGGCTAAATCGTGGCTATCGTCAAGGTATATTGAATATATTGAAATATTGTTATTGTTGCCGTTATTATCATCGTCATCATCATCATCACCATGATCATCACAATGATCATCATCAGCATCGTAATTCAGCTACTAATAATGAAAATAATGAGAATGAAAATAGAATCAATAATACAGATTATGTGAATGATCCATTTAGCGAAATGGATACGATAAACATGCAAATTAATCATAATCATCATCATAATCAAAATGAAATAATCATAACAAACAAACAGCAGCAGAAGCAGCAACAAAATTTAAAATGTGAAAATGAATCCAATCCAATCATCATCAGCAATGGCAATGGCAATGATAATGGTAATCATCGTCGTGATGAAAATGCAATTGCAACAACACCGGCAACAACAATGACACTGCCACCATCAAAGACGATAATAAAATTGACAAAAAAACCAATGTCATTGAAACAAACAATAGTTAGAATTATACCCAGTAATAATAATCATCATAATGTAAAAAATAATAATAAAATGTCAATAACAATGACAGAGATTACATCATTGAAACATTGTAATCAGAATGATGATCATCATTATTGTGATGATGATAATGATAATGATGATGATGATGAAAATTGTAAATAATTCCATTCATAAACGACGTAACTTGCAATATATCAATAAAAAAAATAAACGATGAATAATGAAAAAAAGAACGAAAAATTATTCAAACTTGAATTTTGAAATTGAAAATCATCACCATATATATATGGTATATATTCATCAACAAAACAAAAACGTCTGGTATGTGAAATGAGAAAAAAAAATTTATTTAAACATTGAATCTCTAACTGCGAACACACACACACGACTGATGTTTGTTGTCGTTTTTATCTATGCAAAAATTTTATTTTTCTTTGTTGAAATATCAAAAAGTCATCACTAACACATTGTGTGTTGTTTGAATAAAATGTCTACCGATACAAATTTGAATCCCAATTTGGCTGAATCGATACCGAATAAATTCAATGAATTATTACGTCAAGTAATCAGTATGGATTTTGATTCATCATTATTATCAATGATGAATAATGAAAAACTTTATGACTATATACAGCGTATAAAACAATTGAAATTGGATACCGATCAATTATGGTCAACCATTCATTTGAATAATTTTCCACCACCATTACGACAATCATATGTAATGCCATTGATACGATTAACAGCAAATATTGAACGTGTTTCAATTAATTTGCAAATTTTTTATGAAAAACAACAACAACAGCAGCAACAACAACAAAAAGACAAAGAAAATCATGAACAACAACAACAACAATCACCATTATTAATCAATCATGAATTGAATACAACAACACGACAGGTATTCGAACACGCGCACAAAAAATTTTCTTATTAATTTCGTTCATTTTCTTATTCTAGTCAATCGTACAATTTCGTTCACAATCACAGCCATATCGATCTGGTAATAGTAGCCATAGTTTATTGGCCGATTATACGGTTACATTATGGGATCTGGAACAAACAATGCCAACAACACCGTTGATTATTGAAGAAGAACGTGACACATCAACAACGATTACGATTGTTGATGAAAATCCAATAAAATTCAATGTGGATACAATAACAACGACAAGTGGTGGCAGTAACAACAGCCGCATTCGTAATGTTGATGGTGATGGTGATGGTGATGATGATGATGGTAAGATAAAACCAACAGAAACATCTTTATCAAATAGTTCTTATTATTCAACAAATTCAGAAATTAATATCGATGATGATGATGATGGTGATGAAAATTTTTCTGCATCCATTTGTTCAACGCCATATTTTCATCGTCGTATGAATAATAATGATGATGATGATTCAAATGAAACAGAAACATTAAGCATATATGATACTAGTTCATTTAATAATTCATATCATACATTTTCAACAGTGACAATCAATGATGTTGATGATGATACATTCACCGGTAATGATGATGAGAATAATTCAATTCAACTAATGATGGCTTCAAATAACGATCGACAAGAATGTAAACAACAACAACAACAACAAACATCATCATTAGCTAATCAATCTATCGATATGATGAATACTAGTAAAGAACAAAATCAGAATAATTCTGAATTAGATTCTGGTATCATAAAAAATAGTACACAATCACCATTGTTGAAAAATAATAATGATGACATGGCAAAATGTTCAACAACATCTGATGCAGGTAAAATTTGAAATCAATATTCAAGTGATAGTGATGCGAAACTTTTTTTTTATTTTGTTTCTTGTCTAGAAATTGATCATGAACAAAAATTTTGTAATTCAAATGGTGATAATGATTATCATGTTTCAACATTGAACAATGAAAATATTGATCATGAACAACAACAACAACAACTGCAACAACAACAACAACAGCAGCAAACATCATCGTCAAAACAAATGAATGATGATGGTGATGGCAATCATGGACAAGACGACGATGATGATGATGATGAATTATTACATTTAATCCAATCGATATTGGAAAAATTTTCTACATTTAAAACATTTCATCATGATATTGGTGATGATGATGAATTATCATCAATGATCATTTCTTATTTGACAACAACAGCTGGCTGTAAACGATTTGTACATTATTTATTGGATCAAATATTGAAAAATTGTGCCAATTCAAATTGTTTTGTTCAACAACAACCACCACCAGCACCACAGCAACAACAAAATTCTCAAACAAATGAAAATACAATGATGATAAATAATTATGCAAAATTCATTTCAGATTTTGATTCATATATTCATTCATTGGATCAATGGCCAATCATAACAACAAATACTAATAATAGTTTTCGATCACAATTATTGGCCGAAATGAAACATTATTATCACCAGGAATTGTATGATTGTCATGATGATCATCATGATTCTTGTTTAGAATCAATCAACAACAACAACAACAATAATAATGATGATGAAAATCGATCAAAATATTTATTGGAAAATAATACATTTGCAAAATTATTTCTTGATAATAATTTTATGGCTAAAACAATGGAACAGAAAATTTTATCAAAAAAACGTTATATTGCCAATCTGTATTTGATTGCTGATCTATATCATATTGGTTATGTGAAAATTGATTACCTAATCGAATGTTTAGATCACATTATTGAACGTAATGAACGTATTCAACGGAAACATTTTGCCGATATTGATTATATACGTTGTATAAAATTATTTATTAAAAATATACGACCAAATATTGATCATTTATCCAATGAATCATTTCGTATGGCCAAACAATATCGATTGATTTGTAAACGTTTGGATAAGATATTAAAATCATCAATGATGACAATGATGGCCAATCATTCAATGATGAATGTCGCTGCTGCTGCTGCTGCTGCTGCTTCAGCCGATCATCATGATGATGATGATGATAATAATAATAAAAATGTTGTTGATCAACAATCAATCACCAATGACCAATCACCACAACCGGCATCACAACCGCATACATTTGCCATGAAAATTTCAAAAATATTCGATTCGATTAAAAATAATAACAACAACAACAACAATCATAATAATATAAAAAATGGTCATCATCATCATCATCATCGACATCAGAACATTATTGAACGTCGTCATCATTCGTTTTGATGATTATGATGATGACGAAGACGACGTTTTTATTATTATTTAAATTCATCAAATTTTCCAAAAATCAATTTAAAAAGAAATTTCAACATCAAACAAAAAAAAAATTTTTTTTACACCTTAAAGTATTTATATCACTTATGTAACACATTGGCATCGTCGATTCCCACCACCACCACCACCACCACCACCACCACCATCAACATCAACAACAACAACAACAGTTTTGATTGGATTTTTTTCAATCAATCAATCAATCAATTGATATGACAATTGTGTGTGTGTGTTGGATTTTTTTTCTGAAAAAAATTTGTGGTCGTCAATATTATTCCAGGATAATGATGGATTATGGAACAGCAACAACAACAACAACAACAACAATTTCATTTGTTCAACACTTGTATGTTTTTTTTTCTATGAAACACTCGAATCATCGGTCATTGTCAAAATTTTTTTTTTGGATCATCGTCATCATTGGCTGTTGTTGTGTGATTGAAACAAATTTGTGTGATTGAAACAAATTTATCATTTTCGGTGCCTATTTTCGGAGCACATATGTCAATCTTTTTTTTTCACTTATATCAATCGATATATTATTTTTGGTGATCACTAAAAAAAAAGAGTCAATAATCATAATCATCTGTTTCTGTTGTGTGGATATTTATTATTTGTATATTCATTCATGGCCATTCATGTTCATTCGGATTTTAAATAAATTTTATTATCATCATCGTCATCATCAACAACAACAACAACAACAACATTATTAAATCCGTGGTCATCATCATTGGTCAATGATCATTATCACGTTATGTGTAGTGGTGGCGGTCGCAAAATTATTGTCCTTTTTTATCTATCTCTCTCTCCATATGTGTGTTTAACACTGGAAAAATATATATAAATTTTCGGTGAAATGAAAATTTCTTTTATTTGATTTTATAAGAAGGAGAAAAATTTTTGAAAAATAAAATTCATTTTTTCCATTCATTCACTCATTTTTTTTTTACTATTTCGTGGTCTGTTTTCGATTTTTTTCCTTTTTTTTTTTTTCTGTTCATTCAAAAGATTTGTTTGTTTGTTCCAAAATATAAAATATCGTCGTCGTGGTCGCCGTTGTTGTTGTTGTTGTTGTTGTTATAAATAAGCTACAAACATTGTCATGGATTTTGCTATTTTGACCGTCAAAAAATCAAATTAATCCATCCATCAATCATAATGGTCAGAATGTCAGTACAACAAGAGTCAAAGCAGCAGCAGCAGCAACAGAAGCAGCGATCAAACACATGGATCAGTGATTTTTTCGTTCATTTTTTCCACACACACACACACACGCACACACGTTGATTCATTTGAATTATACATTTTGAACGTGTACATCATCATCATCATCATCATCACTGATTATCATTATCCTCCAGATAAAAAAAAATTAAAAAACCCACAACACGTACACAATCATTAATCCAATCACAAATCTGTAAATAGATTTTTTGGGTCAAATCTCTATAGAATTTCATTCAATTTATTTTCAAACAAATCAATAAATCAAATGATTTCTATTTTTGTGATTGTTTGATCGATTTTACGATCAACAGCAAAAAAAATCAAGATGGAATCATCATCATCCACATCTTTATTATTATTGTTTATCGATAATCGTTGTTCGTTATATAGATTATTTGTTGTGATTCTTGCCACCATGATGATATTATCATCATTAATAATGGTAATAGTAGATGGTCAATTAAGGCCACCACCACCACCACCACCAACAACAACTACAACAAAACCAAAACTTTCACCACAACCACATCAAATCACAATAAGACGTGCTGGTAATTTTCCAATACCACCACCAATAGGAAGTTTACGTGGACGTGGATCATTTCTATTACCATCATCATCATCATCATCATCATCAATGATATCAACTCGATTTCTTGAAATTATTGAACGTTTTCTAACAGCTTCAGCAACAAAAACAACAACAACAACTACTACGACGACAACAACTACGACAACGACAACAACAACAACAACAACACCGAAACCAATGATTCAAACATCATCTAAATTAATATTACCACCATCACGACCGCCAACAACAACAGCAGCAACAGCAGCGAAACTGGTAATCAATAATGATCGAATGTGTAAACAATCAGATATGGATCTATGTAGTCAACGAATGTTAATGATAACCGATAGAAATTTTCATTATCCAGTTACAATGGCCGAAATGGATAAACGTTGCAAGTATGTAGTATATATACAAATAATGATGTTTTCTATTTGATTTTTCATTAATCAATCAATCAATCAATCAATCAGAGAATTGAAACCAATCGAAAAATGTATACACCATTATTCTGAACGTTGTTTTGAATCCAATATACAGCAGAAATCATTTTCATTGATCATTTATGGTGTAACGAAAACTAATCGTGCATTATGTCGCAATAATCGTCGTCGTCGTGCATTCGTTGAATTCAGTAAACAATGTGCAAATCGTTTACAGCGGACATTGATCACATATGTTGAAGATATGTATAAGGCAATGTTTGCCATATTAAAATATCCGATAAGAAAATTACGTATACCATTAAGTTGTTGGTAAGTACCAACTATTCGGTTACTGGAATTCTGAATATTTATTCTTGTTCTAATTATTCTATTACCACTACCAATACCACCATCATTACTTTTAATATAAATAGCAACTACTATAGATTTAAAAATCGAGCTTTAACCATGTATCAGGAACAATGTCCATCACATTTACAACAAATGGATCGTTTATTAAGCGGATTTACAAAAGATTCATTTACATTTATTTGCGGTAGATATCAAGAAAATTCTGATCGTTGCCATAGAATTATGGATAAATTACCATCATCGAATAATATGACAACATTGTTGATGTTAATCAACAACAATAATAATAACAAAAATGCGGCATTAAAATTATCAACTGAATCATTTATTACCACATATATTAACATGATTCATAGTATTGGTTCTTGATTAAACAAAAATTTTTCGAATAAAAAATTGAAAAAAAAACACTGAATTATTCATCATCATCATCGTTGCCATTTGGATTAATTTCAATCAATTGTGCCACTTCTATATTACAATCTTCAATTATATCCGAAAGTTGTTGTTGTTGTTGTTGTTGTTGCTGATCTTGATCTTGAATATATCATCATCATCATCATCTTCACAGATGTCCATTTCAAATGTTGTTATACGACAATGACTTGAATCACAACAACATGCTAGATTACGATTACCACTAACAGATAATGATTTTTGTTGATAATGTTTATTATTATTCATCATATCATTTAATAATCGTAATTTAAAAAATGAATCAATTGTCAATGGTGTTTCGCCATCGCCATCATCATCATCTAGTTTATTATCATTGCCTTTATCATGAGCAACATAATCATTGCCATCAATTTGCATATGCTGCTGCTCCTGCTGCTGCTGATGCTGCTGTGGTTGTTCATCGATCCAAATACGATCCATAATTGTACCGATATCAATTTTCCATGCATGATTATTGAATGTTTTTCTATTTTGTTTGGTTATTCGTTCAACAATAAAATCATTCATTGAATCAAACATTTTTGAATATCTACATTGTAATAAATATTGTTTTCTATTTGATTCATTGTTTTCCATTGTTGATGATGACGATGATGTTGTTGTTGTTGTTGTTCATTAAATCGATGATATTCAGTAATAATCAATGTCATCCATTCAGAATTATAGAATCGACAATCTTCAATATAGAATCCAATTTTATCCACACAATGACATGATGAATGACAATTTCCAATCAAATTAAATTGTATTAAATCAATTTGATTATGCAATGGTTGCTGAAAACGAAATATGGTCATCATTGTTGTTTGATTATCATCATGATGATTTTGATTAAATTTTCCAACATAAAGATATCTGGTTGATTGTTCATTCAGGTTTGGATGATAACACAGAACACTATGACAATCCAATGATATTGGTTCAATTTCATATAATTCTTTTGTACAATCGAAATCATGATGAAATTCAAATGTCATTTTATCCACAGATTTTTCAATCAATTTTGATTGCAATTCATTCATATGTTCAAATGAATCACCAAATAATCGTTGCTTAATTCGTGATAATCTTTCATGATGTTCTGAAAGTGACCAATCGGATGTAATATTTTCACTAATCGAATCAATATTATTCGAATCATTCATCAACATTTCAAACCATTTTCGTGTCTCATCACTATCTTTATCGGGTAGATTATCAAATTTCATCATTGAATCATTTGATGATGAAAATGTTCCGGAAAATAGTCGAAATAAATCTTCAACGGACATTTCGTTGAAATTTTTACCTTTATGATCGTTGAGAATGTTGAGAAAATTTTTCAAATATCTTTCCTCCAAATACGTTTTATACGGATTTCGTATGTTTTCATCATTATCGTTTTTAGACATTTGTACACTTGTTTTTGATGATGATGATGATGATGATTGTGAATTTGGATCAAGCATTCGTTCAATACGATGAAATTCAAAACCATTTGTAAATGAGCCATCATTGAAAAAATCCATAATAAGATGAAAATCTTGCAATGTCATACGACCAATATCCAGATGATCATCACAATATTTCGAATATTCATGTTCATTATGATCATGTGAATAATGTGCCATAAAAATTCCTTTATAAATCAATCTTGTTACAGCAAGCATTTTACATTTCAAATCATTCATTGTGGTCATCAATCGATTACATTTGTCCATCATCCACGTTATTTCACAACGAAATTGATTGACATTTTCAATGGACAGTCCAAGATCACCGAATAATAGATCATTTAAAATCATTCCTAAAAAAAATTGGAAAACAAAAATTTAAATCAATTTGTTTTTTATTTTGACTTGACAAAAAAAAATTACCTCGAAGATTATCCAAATAGGACAATATCTGTGTCAATGTGTTAAGCAAACGTGTTATGATCAAACGATTTATATCATCAATACAATGTTCAAATGAATGATATAATTTCGATGTTTCTTTTCTATTAAGATCATGTAGAAAACGTTCCAGATTCAGGCTTATATTGCCGAATATTAACATGTCGATAAAATCTTTCAATTTCAATTGTATTCGATTTTGATCCATTTGTTGGGAATTTGAAACATCAAATGTTTGCTCAGGTATTAATTGATAACCGGATAAACGTGATTTGATATCGACAATAACATCGGACCAAATTGATGAAATTTCTTTGATTGTATCATGAAGAAATTCTACACGTATATCGATATTCAAACGGACACGATTGACAAGAAAAATTTCTTTCCATAAATTGCCAAATAATCGTGTCTCGAATAACATTAAATTCGAATTGGCTTGTTGTTTATCGTTGTTATTGTTACATTTGAAATAAACTTGAATCGAATTCAAATCTGGTGATATCCAAATGCGATCAATTCGTAATTGACGGTCATTGTGAATGAATTGTTTTAGATCAATATTCAAGATTTGATAATAACCAAATAGATAAAAAAGAATAATATTCTGTTCGGTTCCAATGGTCAATATATTGATGGTTTTATTCTGTAACAGATTCATACGATCATATGATACAAATTCATCTTGACGATTAATCCTGGTTAATGGTGGTAGAATTGAATTGAATTTTTTACTTGAAGAATTTTTATTCGAATCTCCTGCAGGCAATTTTGAATTTTTACCCAATTGTTGTGTTGTCGTGTTGAATGGATAATTCAATAATTCATCATCACAGATACAAAGATCAACATAAGGAATGTTGATAGAATCCAATGGTAAATTAAGATCATCAATATTGATAGCTTTCATTGTTGATGATTCAACATCTGGACAATGGCTTTTTACCTGCCAACATAGACAGGTTATGTTGAATGAAAGATTATGAACACAAACTCTTTGATTTGTTTCGATTAAATACATTGCAATCGATGAATGATATTCTGGTTTTGTTGTGCAATTTTCATCAATATTTTTCGAATTTTTATTACGATTTTCACCATCAATTGGTCGATTATATGCAACGGCAAGAATTTTTCCATCAATCGACCATACCATATCGATAATCTATGATGTAAAATCAAATAAATTATCGGGATAAAAATGAATGACATCAACACAAACCTTGATAATTTCAACGTTATCATTTTGATGAATTTTAGGTTTCGGAATGGACCAAACACGTTGCCATGAGAATAAACGATTGATAGCTATATCTGAACTAGACAATGCCAAAGCAACAATATCCATGCATGGATTAATTCGAATATGACTGACTTCCAACGGAAGTAAACGTTCACCAACTTTACGAAAATTGGTCATTTTTTTAAAAACGTTTTACTCGGATACCAAAATTCGGTTTATTAACCGCTAAAATAAAATGAAAAAAAAAATTTCACATAAATAGAACCAAAGCTACCCAATGAAGCTTATTCAGTTGAAATAGCAAATGTGACTGTGCATATTTTTTCATTCTCTTTCTCTCTCGCTCTCAGTCTGACAATTGTTGAAAATTTTCATTTTGGAATTTTTAAAACAAACAAAAAAAAAATCAATCAAAAGAACATAATGTCACGAGGAAGTTCAGCTGGTTTTGATCGTCATATTACCATTTTCTCTCCTGAAGGACGTCTTTATCAAGTTGGTAAGTAGTGATTGTTGTTTTGTGATGATAAAAATCAATTCTTATGATGATGATTAATTGAATTTTGTTTTATAAATCAATTGCAGAATATGCATTCAAAGCAATCAACCAGAATGCAATCACATCGATTGGTTTGAAGGGTAAAGAATGTTCGGTTGTTGTTACCCAACGTAAAGTACCGGATAAACTTCTGGAATCAAGTACTATTTGTAATGTTTTCCATTTGACACCTTATATTGGTTGTGTGGCCACCGGTATGCAGGCCGATTCAGCATCATTAGTGCAACGTGCACGTTATGAAGCGGCTAATTTTAAATATAAATATGGTCTTGATATTTCAGCTGAAGCATTAACACGACGATTATCGGATCTGGCACAAGTTTATACACAGAATGCTGAAATGCGACCACTTGGTGTTAGTTTGATTCTGATATCACATGAAGATGGCCAGCCATTAGTTTATAAAACAGATCCAGCCGGTTATTATGCTGGTTATCGTGGCTGTGCTGTCGGTGTCAAAGCAATTGAAGTGCAGAATTATTTGGAAAAAAAACTGAAAAATCGTCTAGAATTGAATAAAAATGAAACAATTCAAATGGCCATATCAGCATTGTTCAATGTATTGAATGTTGAATTTAAACCAAATGAATTACAGGTGGGCATTGCCGAAGAAGGTAAAAAATTTCATATACTAACCGAATCGGAAATTGAAAAACATTTAGCCATATTGGCAGAAAAAGATTGAGAGTGAAAACATGAGATTTGATCAAATCATCAAAGATTAATTTTCTTCGAAAACATCTGATTTCAATTTTGTTTGCAAAAAGATAAATAAAATTTTTTTTATTTCCATATCTACATTGAACTTGAATGTCATTTTTGTAAAAAAAAAAAAATTTTCCTTTTGCGTTTTTGTCAAATGTCAATGCATTCTTTTTTTTTACTTTTGCTTTTAATCGAATGCAAGTGATGGCTGCCACCATTTTCATTGTTATAATTTTATTATTTTGTTTTTATTCTTGTCCATCATCATCATCATCATCATCACCAATGATGAACAATTGGAAACGAATTGTTGGTGGTGAACATGTTTCGATCGATGTTGTTCCATGGCAAGCATTAATACAACAACATTTATCATTATCGGATGATACTACTACTACTACAATACAATGTGGTGCCGTATTAATTGATCCAATGTGGATATTATCAGCATCACATTGTATACAACAACCATGGTATCGATATCCAATTGATGTTTATTTTGGTTTGACAAATATAACGGCCACTATTATTAGACAATGTTTGTATCAATTTGATTCCATATTATCACAGACAATTGAATCTGAATATATCATTTAGCTACCATTCGATCTGTAAAACGTGTATTCGATCCAGCCAAATATGATCCACAATTATCTGGTGATTTAATTCTATTACAATTAAATGAATCAATCATTATTGGTGAAACCATTCAACCAATTTATTTACCTGAATCTGATGAAAATTTTGATTATCATATTGGTACTGTTTCTGGTTATGGTTCAACATTGTTTCAAAAAACATTCAAACCGGCAAATATTTTGCATATGATACAAGTGCCCATTCTACCAACATCTTCATGTATAGAATTGTATAAAAAAGCATTCAAAGATGGCGCCACCACTACCAATGTTGCAATGGAATTTATTCGAAATAAAAAATTAATCTGTGCCGGTTATAAACAAGGTGGTTATGATGCTTGTATTGGTGATTCTGGTGGTCCATTAGCTGTTTGTGTAGATGATTGGATGATGACTATGGCCATGAAACGATCAATATCGATGAATAGATTATTATTAACACGTTTATATCCAATTGAAAGACAACCACAACAACAACGACAACGACAATGTAATGGTAAATGGAAATTGGCCGGCATCATTTCCATTGGTTATCGTTGTGCTGAACCTAGTATACCGGGTCTTTATATCGATATCACTGTTTACGCCAATTGGATACGATCGATTATTCATTCATCGACGTAATTTATAGCAGAATCACTCATGAATCATTTCTTGTTTTGTGTTTTTTCGTTTTTCTCATATTGGAAACAAATTATGAATTTCATGTTTTTCACTCTATTTTATTTCGTTCTTTTTTTTCCACACACACACACATACATCAACATGTTTGTTTTACATTTGAAGATTTGATTTCACATCATCATCAACATTTTTTATATTGGCAATAAAATAATCATAACCAAAAATCATCATCATCATCATCATCATCATCATTGGCCACAAAGGAAACATTACATTGCACACAAAACATTCGAATCTTTATTTTTGTCTTTCGACATTTTTTGTCACACACCATTATTTTGTTGTTGTTGTTGTTGTTGTTGTTTAAAACCATATATTCTTCACACACACACACACACACACACGTTTATTGTGTGTTTACACATCAAATTCAGAATTGTCATCCACTTGACAAGAATGTTTTTCACGATTTATCAACAACAACAACAACAACAACAAAATAAAACATTTGATGATGATGGTAATGAAAAAAAAAATTCATTCGAATCTCAAAATCGATTTTTTTTTTGCTTTTTGGACAACAACAACAATTCATTCGGCTGGATGAACCATAAAAAAAACAACATTGAAATCGATTGTCATTTTTCCAAGTGTTTGTTCGTGTGTGTGTGTGTGTGTATTTGAAACGATAAAATGGCGCCCATTGAACAATTGAACAATTCATGACGTTCATCTATTTATTTCTCATTTTGTTTCTGCTATTGACGACAATTTAAAGATTAGTTTTCATTTTCAATTTTGTTGATACATGAAAAACAAAAACATTCGATTGAATCGATCGTTGTCGTTGTCAATATGTAATGTACGAATTTCAAAATGAAAATTTTCCAAAATGATCTGGTCGGTTGATCACTTGAGTGCGAAAAATCAAATTCTTTCTGTGTTCAATAATTTTACATTGTCATCCAACAACAACAACAACAAAATAAAACATTTGATGATGATGGTAATGAAAAAAAAATTCATTCGAATCTCAAAATCGATTTTTTTTTTGCTTTTTTGGACAACAACAACAACAACAATTCATTCGGCTGGATGAGCCATAAAAAAAACAACATTGAAATCGATTGTCATTTTTCCAAGTGTTTGTTCGTGTGCATTTGAAACGATAAAATGGCGCCCATTGAACAATTGAATGTCGTTCATCTATTTTTTTTTTTATTTCTCATTTTGTTTCTGCTATTGACGACAATTTAAAGATTAGTTTTCATTTTCAATTTTGTTGATACATGAAAAAAAAAAAAAAACATTCGATTGAATCGATCGTTGTCGTTGTCAATATGTAATGTACGAATTTCAAAATGAAAATTTTCCAAAAATGATCTGGTCGGTTGATCACTTGAGTGCGAAAAAAAAAATAATTCTGTTTTCGGTTCGATTACCATCCAACCAACCAAGGATTGGTAACAATATAAATGGTGTAAATAACAGTAACAACAACAAAAAACATTTTCACTTTCGAATCCATTTGAATTTCGTTTATATTTACAGAAAAAAAATTGTCCATCATTTAATGTAAAACAAAATACAAATCCCAAATTGCTAGGAAAAACCCGAAGGCCATATTTTGTCGTTCAAAATGAAAAAAGAGAGAATCATGATGATGATGATGATCGGATTTCAAAAAACAAAAAACAGAAAAAAACATTCTAATCACCAATTTGGGATTCGGAAACCAAAAAAAAAAAAAAAAAATCGAATCACCAGAAACACAGAGGATTCTGATTCGATTCGAATGTTTTTTTTTGTTTTGTTTGGTGATGGTAACGTTTTCGATGAAAAGCGCTCATTACATTTTTTGCATAGATCGATGTTTATTTATTTTTTTTTGTCTTTCAATCATCATAAGATGAAGAATAATCAATCAATAATGCCATAATTCATAATCCCGTCATAACGTCTATCGTGAAAAGTTGACCATCCGGTAAAGTCATTTGATGATATGATGCAAAATAATTATCCTAAAAATCTCTTTTTTTTCTCCCCAAAAAAAAAAAAAAATTCAGAAGCAGCTGTGATCCAAAAACAAAAAAACAAAAGTAAAGATCAAATGTCAAATGTTGTTATATACAAGTCATTAGTCATTTATATTTAATCATCATCATCATGTGTGTATTTGTCTGGATCATTTGGATCCAGACGAATCATCTTGTATGACATTGATTTCATCCACATTTCAATTGTATATTACGATCAACATCATCATCAACATCATTATCGTTTATGGTTTGAAAACAAAAAAAACAAAAACATGGCTAATATCGATATGGATGTTATGGTCTCTAATTGCCAATTTGAGATTTAAACAGAAAATACAACGCGAACATATACACATTATTTTTTTTTATTACACCCAAATGTGTCAATAGAATGGATGAATGAATGAAAAAAAACGATCAAAATAATAGAAATTGGTTACAATTTTTTTTTTCATCGGCTTCACTTTATTGTCATATCAAATTACATGAACAACAAGCAAGCAATAATAATAATCAGCAACAACATAAACGGACATACAAAAAAAAAAAAAATGAAATGAAAATCGAATGCAACGAAAAATCAAACATCAAGACGAACCGAAGACGTTTGTTTTGTTTTGTTTCGTCAATTTTGGATTCGGGTCAAAAATTTTTTTTCATAAATAATTTCTTTCATTAATCAATCAATGACATGATAATCAAATGTCCATCATCATCATCATCATCATGGCAATGGTTAACAACTATTGATCAATTAAACCGAAATGGGAAAATTTTTTTAAAAAACGAAATAATCACATCCACAACCATCGATTATTATTATGACCATCATTGATGACAATCAATCGACATCATGAATGTATCCACCATTTTGATGATAAGGTGCAATAAAACGATAAAAAACAACAACAACAACAACATCGAAATAACAATAATCATCATCAAACACACACACACACATTGGTTACGAAATGAAGAAGAAGAAAAAAAATCTGTAAATCTTGTTATGTACAGCAAGCAAACAAACGAAAAAAAGTTCAAATTTTTATCGTCATTGGTTTGTATGCAATGCAATGTATGTGTTTGATTATCATCACCGTATTTCAAGGTATATATATTGAAAATCCTTATTCTGTGATTCAATTAAGCCTCCAAAAAAAAAAAAAAAAAAAAAAAAAAAAAAAATTTCAATAGGATTTTTCATCGTCATCGACGTTTTCTTACACTTGTCTTGTCTTGTATTTTTCTTTCAAATTAAATGCCTTGTTTACAATCCAGAAATGAATGAAAATGTGAAAAAAACAACAACAACAACAACAACAAACGCTTAATTGAATGTGTGGATAATAAATTTGAGAAGAAAAAAAATACTTGCCGAACAACAACAACAACAACAACAAGAAGAAGAAGAAAGAAGAAAAAAAATTAATTGCTAAACATTATTTATCAACAGCGACAATAACAACAATCAACAAATCAAATATATTTTGATGATGATAATCATCATTGTTGTTGTTGTTGATATTTTTCCTTGACATCAGAGTCATCACTATCACTGTGCATGTGTGTAAACAACTTACATCCATCCCATTGAATTCATTGATAAATGACAATGATGACAAGCTTCATTCCTCGTTTCATCAATATCAATGCATAAAAAACAAAAAATTTAATCGGATCATTCGGTTATTTTGAAAATCATATGTCAAAATCATCATCATCATCATCATCATCATCATCATCATCATGATCCATTACTTATTCATTTTATTTCAAACTTATCGATGGATTTTATACACACAAAAAAAACATCAATAATCATCTTTCAAAAGTTTTTTGTTGCTGTTTTTTTTCAGCAAACAGAAAAAACTTTTATTCATCATTCATTCATTCAGTTAATACGATAATGAAATAATGGAAGTTAGTGGAAATCGATACTTTTTTTTCCACACAGACACAAAACCAGGTATGCATCATCATCATCGTTGTTGTTGTTTTTTTTTTGCTTGTCAGTGTCGGTGATGACAAATGTTTAAATTTTTTTTTTCCAATTTTCAATTTCAAAAAAGGAGACTTAAATCTAGTTATAAAAACAGCCTGTTCTCTCCAGTGTTGTGTGTGTGTGTGATCAACAACAATCAACCCAAAACGAGATGCCGATTATGTGCTGATGCAGGATGTTTTTTTTTTACGATTTTCAATCAATATATCAGTGGTGTGATGGACATGACACCTTTGGTTTCATTTCATTTCATTTTTACAACGCTAGATTTCAACTTTAAGATTTTTTCTTTTTTACTTCATTCAAACACACACGTACACACACACAAGCAGAGAGTTTTCAATTATAGATCTTATGTTTTTATTATTATATAAAGATGCTGTATGCCAGATGGTTTTCACAACATTTCATCAGATTTTTATTTTTTTTCCGCATCTTTCAATGTAAATTATATAGGCAAGATTATCATTTTTGCACACATAACACACACATACATACCTAGATGAAGTTTTTATATAAATAAATAGACAGGTGTAGATTTCATCATCAATTTCATTTCTTCTTGATTACCATCATCATCATCATCATCATCATCGTTATTTATTTTTTGACTCTTTATTGTTTTTTTGCAATTCAATTTATGATTATCGTTGATTTTGATTTTGATTTTTTTTTTGCTGTAGAAATCCATGTAAATTGGCGTTAACAACAACATGATGGTTTGATGATGATGATCATGAGTGTTGATCTTAGTGATCACCACTATCACCACTCATCATTTACCTTTTTTTTCTGTGCCGCACCTTTTTCAGAGGTCTTTTTTTTATCATTTTATCAAAATTTTATCAAATGACCAATTCGATGCTAATGTTTTAATGGTTAATCTTGAGCGGTATTTTTCATTTCTTCATTTCTTGTCACTCGTACACCTGTGTGTGTGTGGATCAGTCTTTTTTTGGAAAATTGACAAGAAACAAAACAAAAAAAAATTTCTAGATTATCAAATTAAATTAAGAGATGCAATTTCTTTATCTCTCAATATGTGTGTGTGTGTGTATTTTTTATGATTCAAAACATTCAATCACCATAAAGTAAGTGAATGGTGGTATATCATTTTATTACATGATGGTGTGTGTGTGTGTGTCGATGATTGAATAACAGCAACAGCCAAAAATTAAGTGTCAAAGTTTGATACTTTTGTTGTTGATGAAATGTTATCAAATCTGATGATGAAAAATATTATAAATTCAACAACGTCGTCGTCGTCGTTGTTGTTGTTGTGAAGAATTTAAATATTTATCTTTAGTTGTTTCGTTTTCATTTTATTATGATCATCATCTCCATTACAGATGCACACACACACACACACACACAACATTGTTGTTGGCTATCGGGTGTGTGATTATACTGTGATATAAAAAAAATAAATAATGAAAAACGAATGACTGTCGAACAATTTCATGATGATTAAATGAAGAGTTTGGCGAATGAATTCGTTTCATCTGGAAGAATATAAAAAAAGGCAAAAAAATAAAGACATTAAAATCGAAAAAAAAATCCAGGTAAAGTTAAAATAGGCATTAAAACATTCAATTCAACAACAACAACAACAACAAAGTTTGATACCATTGATAGGCGGCTATTGGTTTTTTGTTTCGATGCAAAACAGAGAAACACAGAGAAAAATCCTACGTACCTGTGAATTTTACCGAATAAATCGAGCACTCTGAATATTTGTTTGGAAAAGTGCAATTTTTGTTTCTGGTTTTTTTTTCTGTTTCGGTTTAATGGCCCATCATTTGAATTTGGGCGAATTTTTTTTTTTTTTCACTGAAAAAAAAAAAAAAAAAAATCCAATATTGCAAATTGATGATAGTGGCGGTGGTGGTGGTGGTAAATCTTTATAAGATTATTATCACAAAAAAAAAAAAATAAATCCAGTATCATTTACCGTCGACCATCATTAAATGATGACGATTTTATTATTATTTCTGAACTGTGAATGTTTTGAATTTTTTTTTTTTTTTTTTTTGCTGAGAGGATAATCGCATTGTCCATCTGTTGTCATTTGGAAATTTTTTTTTACTATAATAAAAAGAAAAAATTTTTCTGATTAAAACGCACACACAAACAAAGAGATTTTGATCATCATCAACATAACCTTTGACATGGAAGAATTCCAATAATCAGGAAAATCACCCTGATGATGATGATGATGATGATATTTAGAATTCATGTTCATCATCATTATTATTATCATCACCGTTTGTTTATTTGTGTTGATTTGATATTCTGTGATTTTTTTTTCTTCTTTGGCTAACGCGTGATTTCCATTAACAAGCCATTTTTCTCGTTCTTCATGTATAAAAATGTTTTTTTTTTGCTGTTGTAAATTGTCAAATGATGATGATGATCATGGTCCCAATTGAATGTCTTTATTATTGGCCATAAACTGAATATATAAAATACTGGGGAGAGAGAGAGAGAGAGAAAATAACATTCCAAAATCACTGTTGTTATCTTTTTTTATAGATTTTTTTTTCTCTCTTTCTATAGAAAATATTGACGCGACAATACAATTGTACAAAACACAATTTAATGTTTTTGGGTTGCTGCTGTAATCATCAATAAATTCATGATGATAATGGTGTAATTATATTTATCACAACCGCATAACATCGTCGTCGTCGTCGCTACATAAAAAAAATCACCATATCGATCCAGAAACAAAACAAAAAATGGAAATTATTCGAAAAAAATAAAAAAACATTCGAATCAAAACAAAACAAAACAAATGATTCGAATCATTTTGTTTCAATCACAAATGACGTTATAATTTAATTTAGCTTTCTTTCATTTTTTTTTTCTTTAATACCCAAGTCAAGTATTTCATTTGACAATCCTTTCGTTTGTCAATTTGATCATCATCATCTCATCATTGTGGTTTTTTTTGTCTGTCGGCTTGAATTTCCTCAAAAACAACAAATGAATAACACAGACAGTGATAACAACCACAACGACGATCGATCGATCGATCGAACAATGTGATCGAACAAATCAAACAAATTTTCGGTTATTTTTTGATTGTTTATTGTTTAAATTTTGCATTATAAATATACAAAAATATAGTGTATGAGTGTGTATGTGTATGTGGCACGTGTCCACAATGAAAAATTGGAACAAAAGGATCCGACATGAATTTTGTTTCTGTGTCTGATATCTCTATGAAATGATTTAGATTTATAGTGAAATCAAAACAAATTCAATACCATCACCACAACCACCACCATGATCATCCATTTATCCGACAAACAAACACAAAACAAAACAAACGAGCTGAAATTTATCGAATTTATAATATAAACACACACACACACACACACATACAGAATGATAATGATAATGAAAATTACCAGCAGCAGCAAAAAAAAAAAAAAACGCAACGCATTCCACAAACAAATAAACAAATGAATAATGATAACATTAGAAAATCTATTCAAATACATTGTAAATGTATATGAATATAAATTAAACAGAATCTCAAATTGAAATTCTGTTGTTGTCGCTGTTGTTGTTGTTGGCAAAACAAAAGAAATAATAATAATCATCATCATCATTATATCAAAATACCGCCCTTTGACCTTTATCTATTTTTTTTTTTTTTTTTTGTTTGTTTGTTTGTTTGTGTGATTTATCAAAAGGGGTGGAATTTTTTTTTTTTTTTTTTTGTTTTCGTTTTTTTTTTTTGTTTTCATCATCACAAATGTCGGCAAACTTTGACCTTTGGATTTCTTTTTTTTCTATTCTTCATTGACATTTGATCTTTTGATTGGAAAGAGAAAAAAATTTTTTTTTTCTTCAGCTAACGGGAATTTCATTTCATATTAGATTTTATGGTTTTTTACGGTTTTTTTTACAAAATTTTTTTTTTTTTTTTTTTGTTGCCTGAATTGTCGTCGTCAATACTTGCTGCTGTTTGGTTAATGAAGGTATGAATTTAGGTCAGATTTTGGCCATTTCAAATGATCATCACCATGATGATGATTATGAACGGTGATAACCAATGGCAAGTATTTATTGTGATCATAGAAAAGAATTTTTCATTTTATAATGGCTTCATCATCATCATCATCATCATCTTTTTTTTTATTGATCCTGAAAATAACATTTTTTTGTTGTTGTTGTTGTTGAGGTAATAAAAAAACCCCTCTGGTCCCTTTTATATATATATTTAGGTCAAAAATAAATTTTTTTAAAAAGTAAAAAAAAATAACCAAGTAAGCCACATATGAATATGTTGACTGATTTTTTCCTCTATGCATGTGTATGTGTGTGTGTGTGTGTGGTTAATCACATTTGACATTGGCCGACATGATGATGATGATGATGATTATCATTTTTTTCTTTGTTTGGTTTATTGACCTAATTGGTCACTATAGTTGAAAAAAACGATAAGGTAAAATGAAAAAGGTCCAATGAAAAAACATTGTGCCCTATGGGCGAGATAGTAATCATTAGTTTGTTTCATGACATACACATACACACACAAGTCAAAGAACCAAGTAAGAAATAAAAACAAGAAAATCGATTATTATCAAGATCATGATCATGATGATGATGATGATGACATGGAACATGGTAGCCCATTGAATCACATTGACTTTTTATTGCAATTTTTTTTTCTTCTGGACCAAATATTGGCTGGCTCTGTGTGTGTGTGTGTGTATGCCTGTTTGTTGTTGTTGTTGGTTGTTTCGTTGTTGTTGTTGTTGTAATTAAGACATTTTTTTCCACTTGTTTTCGACAATTTTTATGCTAGTTTTTTTTCCACTGTTGTTGTTGTTGTTGTCGTTGTTGTTGTTGTTTTTAAAATTTCTGCTTTCAACACTGCCGACTTTGATGGAATATTCAAAAGAATTTTTCTGATTTGAAATCAAGTGAAACGAATTTGTCAAAATTCAACAATTCTTTGGATGGAAATGTGTGTGTGTGGGTGTGCATGTGTTTTTATTACCAAGGATTTTATGTTTCTTTGAATGAAAAAAATCTTTTTTTTTTCAGCAACGAAAAATATGAATATCTGTGGTATATGACCATCATCATCATCATCATCATATGACATAATGTGTGGTGACCAGTCGGCTGATGACAATAATTTTTTTTCCATATATATGACCATGTCATATAATTTTCATATTTTTTTTTTTTTGGCCATGGGCAAAATGAAATTTTGGTGAAAATTTGACAGCAAGATCTGTGTTTGTGTGTGTATTTGATTATAAATGATTCTGGATTCTGATTGTGTGTGTGTGTGGATGCAAATTTCAGATAAATGAATTTTTTTTTTTCGTTGAATTAAATCGATTTAAATGTATCAATTTGAATTGATTGAAGTGGAGAAAAAACAACCCGAAAACCGGGATAGAAAGAGAGAGAGAGAGAGAGAATTCTGATTTGACAATGACAGAAAAGAAAAATGTGAGCAAAAAGAGGTTATTGAAGTTTTTAAACTTTTTTTCGTTTTGAAAATTAAATTATCTCGGATATATAAAAAAGGATGGTGGCAGTGGTGGTGATCACCATATATATAAACATATACATTTTGGATCATTAGTTGGGCCTAATGGAGTTTAGCTTTTTGGCTTGATTGAATCGAATTGAATGGATTCAAAATGAAATGGCATGGATTTTGGTTTCCATACACTTTTTAAATTTCATTTCATTTTTTTGTTGTTGATCGTTTTAAGCCATTATTATCATTGTTGGATGGAAATTTTTTTTTTTTTTTTTTTGTTTGAATCGATTAATCTCGTCTGTTTATCGAGTATATATGGATCCTGAGATGGATTCATTTTAAAGTTTTTTTTTTATTTGCCGCTGCCGTTACCGAAAAAAAAACATCGATTAAATCGATGATTTATAACCATCGGATAATACCGATGAACGAATTAATCGATTGTTGTTGTTATTATAATATCGATGGTTTAAAAACTTATTCTGGCCATAAACATTGGGAAAATAAATAGATAGAGATAGAGAAAAAAATCAATTAAGAGAAAACAAAACGAGAGAAATTTAATCTTTTCTACTGTGAAAAAAATGAAAACAATAAAATAAACATTAAGAAGATTTAAGATGATGATGAAGAAACGATGAATCATCCATCGAGACTCTGATGATGATGATAATGATCCACAAGAACAACAAAACACAATAGAACAGGGAGAAACAAAAAAAAATCATTAAATCAAACGATTAAAACAGAACAGTATCGGTTAATCATCATCATCATCATCATCATCAGGTGTTGATGACAACAACAACCACAACAACAACAACAACAACAACAACAACAACAACGATCATCATCATTGAAAAAACAGCAGGATACAACGAGTTAAACGTAGCGTTTACCACCACAATCGACACACACCAAGAGAGTGAAAGATTTGGCTGCCAGAATAAAAATCGGATTTTGTTCAACAGCAGCAAAATTTCAAGAATTAACTTTTTCTAGTGTGGCCACCCACCAAAAAAAATAAGAATTGCTGATTTAATGGTGATGATGATGATTATTATCATTAACGATAATTTGTTGTTGTTGTTGTTGTTTTTTCCATGTAGAATCATCATGAGATAGAGAAAGATGAATAAATTTGGTTAAAAACAACAATTAAATTCATCTATTATATCCACAGATTCTGTGTTGAAAATAATTCCAATTTCAGATGAAACAGATGCCCAAAAAAAAACTTTACCACTTCGGTATTCTTCAAATTTTTTTCCACAAACTTTATCCTGAATTTCCGTTGTTTTTGTTGTTATTGTTGTTGAACATCAGTTTTTTTTCTCTCATTCATTAAATATTTGTTTTCACATGTTTGCAAACCTACACACTTCAGATTCAATGTTCACACTGTAAAAGATGTGAAAAAAAAGAATCCGTCAGAATTTATTGATGCACTTGAAATGCAATACATGGTTTTAATATTGTATCATTTTACAGCCATCATGATGATGGATGTTCAGTACGATTCGATTGATTGAACGAGAACCGAAAGAATCCATTGTATCCTTTTTTTTAGTTTGGTTTTGAAATTATTAAATTCAAATTAAACACTGGAATTGTAAAAAAAAAACTTGAAAAATTTGCAATTCTAAATTCTAACAAAAAACAAAAATTATTCTCAAACAAACAAGAATCGTTCTCTCTCTCTCTCTCTCTCTCTCACTCTCTCTTGTGGTTTTTAAATTGATCTAATTTGAATTTGATGTCTGTGTCTGTCTGTGTGTGTGTATTCTGTAATTTTTTTTTTGCTGTTTGCTGTATTTGATTGCCAGGTGTGAATCGTTTGTATTTTTTTTTCTTGGTTTTGATTTCCTTTCATTTTATTGGCAGATGTTACACGGGTAGCATTTTGTTTGTTTTTTCTTTTTTTTTCGATTAGCATCATCATTTTTAATTTCAATTTCCTTTTAATTTCAACTTTTCAATTTTAAGATCTGTCTGTGTGTGAGTGTGTGTGTGTGCTTGTGTGTCGATGATAACCACACACATAAAGGTCAAATGTCAACGAAATTTTTAAATCTGATTAAATGGTTTGTTGTTTTCTGTTTAGATACCATTTTCAACATTTAATTAGTCTGATGACCAATCATCATCATCATCATTATGGACATCAGATCAGATCAGAAAAAAAATTAAATTTGATTTCGGATATTGAAAACCGAAACCCATAAATAAATTGCAATCACAAAATCTTTTTTTTTTGGTTCATCTCTCACTTTTCTTATTTGTTTCAATGTGTTTAATGTTTACATTGCAATTTCCAATCAAACCAACTTTTTCTTTCGCTGTTTTTAGTCACACTATCACCACCACCACCACACTGCCACCACAAATGCATTCATAGAATAAATGGCCATCCCATAGGCAACCAGAGAGAACAATTGTTTTTGTTAGGTTTTTATTTTTCACTCCTGACTTTTTGATCTCCATTATAATGATAATATTTACCCTTTATTTCTACTTTCTCAGCCCGTGTGTGTGTGTGATGGCTTATTGAATTATTCTGAAGAGTCTTGATGGTCGTGTGTGTGTGTGCGTTCCACCAGTTCTAGTGTTTATATTAATTTTGACCACATTTATTTAGACTTTGAAGAATCCAAAAAGAAAAAAATTTTTTTTTCCACCAAATCGACCTTTTGATGATTGAGATTTGTTGCTGTTGCTGTTGTTGTTGTTGATTTTGCCCATGGCTTTTCTATTCCAATGATTATAGTGCATGGCTGTTTGCTGTGTGTTTAACCCGTTCATCCGGCCACTGTGTTTCACACACAACAACAACAACAACAAAGTGACCGAAAACAAATGAGAAAAAAAATGGACATTGGATCAATTTCCACTTGAAAGATACCAAAGCCAACCAAATAAGCTAGAACTGAAAAAAATCCAGAAACTCACAATCCATGATCATCATCATATTATATTATCTATGACCAAAAACGAAATAAGTATCTGCTTTTAAGCTTTTAAGCATACATCATCATCATCATCATCATCATTTCAAAAGGCTCAAACGAAACCAAACGAAACGAAACGAAAAACACCAGCAGCTAGACCTAGGAAAAACTTTATGACTTGTTTGTTTGTTTGTTTCATTTCATTTTTTTCTTTTGAGTTGATTTTGCCGAAAAAAATAAAAATAAATCCCAACCCCATCAACATTATCCACCCCACTCATACACACTCATACACACTGGTTATTTACAGACCAAAATTTCAAAGAACCAAAACAAAACAAAAAAGTTGTTAATGTAAATTAGCAAAAATGGAAAAATGAAATTTGGAAAAAAAAACTTTGTCCTACTCGTTTTTTTTCTATTTCTCTCTGTTGAAATGCATTTAACACTGGACCTTAGTATATGGCACGCGTCATTCATTTGGCTTCAAACTTTATATCAATCAGTTCGAGTGGCGAACGGTGGTGGTGGTGGGTGTGCGTTTATAACCAAAAGATTTTTATTATTTTTTTGTTGTTGTTGTTTTTGTTTATTTTCTTGTTGAATATCAACATAATGATGATGATGAACCGACCATTGGTCATCCACAGAACTAGCTATTTCCGATTTACTTAATAAAAAAATTTTTTTTAAAAAAAACCAAACCTAACCAACAACAACAACAAATCAATCCATTTGGTTTGTCGGTAAAATTTTCTATATTCAGATTATAAGAAATCAGAAAGAGAGAAGAAAAAAAAAGCAGCAGCAGATATCATCATGAAGAATTTCGAATATTCAATCAGTGATGATTATGAATGAAGATTATGATTTTGTTTTGGAACAAGTTTTTTTTTTTAGTTTCAACAACCCAGGTATTATTTCTACAAATCTAGTTTCATTTTCATTTTCATTTTCTCAAAATACGATTATTACATTTCAAAACAATAATAAAAAACTTCATATTTCTGTGGTGTGTAAAGGATTAAAATTAACTCGGAGAGAGAGACTGACATACAGAGAGAGAATTTGAAATAATAATAATCTTTATCTATCACCAAGAGAGAAAAGAATTTTTTTTGTTGTTAGTTTGAAAATAAAATTCCCTTCGTAGCATACAGCAGCAGCAGCAGGAATCTAATGATTTTAGCTCTTTTCAAAATGTCACTTTTAACAAAAAAAAAAAAACTAATAAGGTGGCGGCATATAATAAAATTACTCGCTTAAAAAGAGACTGATTAATTTTTTGTGTTTGTGAGTGAGTGAGTGAGTGAGTAGAAATTACCTTTTCAAAATAATCTTTTATCATTTTTATTGGAAAAAAATTTTTCATAATAATCAAATTGACTCAAACACACACACACATGCACACAGTATCGGTTTATTCGAGAATTTTTTTTTGTTTTGTTTTGTTTTGTTACCTGGCAGATTTAAAAATTGTCGATGGTTATCATTTTTTTTTCTTTCAAATCCCATGATAATGATGATCGATCGATTGACAAGTGGTTTGTCGTGACTGTCAAATATGAAGGTAAATGGGACGAAAAAAAAAATTTTTTCCCAAAAATTCTCATGGAAATTTGTTCCGGAATTCACCAATCAATCAATCAATCGATTACAAATAGTTTGAAATTGAAATTCTTTATTTATTTAGCACACACACACAAACAAAACAAACAATTTGTTTCAGGTTTTTTTTTGGGAGTGGAGGGGGAGGGGTTTCTCAATTAAAAATGGTTATTATTAACTATAATTGAAAATAATTGGCAGATAATGAAAATGGTAAATATTATATATAGTGATTATTATTCATAATATTACAATGAGTAAAAAGTGACAGATTTAGCTAATGTTTATGTAGCGGGAAATATTCAAATTTTCAAAAAAAAAAGAAAAAAAAGATTCATGGACTATCCAAATGATGATCATCATTCATTATGATATTTGGTGATAATGGTGATGATGATGATGATGATGACGAAGATGGCGATGACGATGATGATGACGATGATTCTGCATGTAGCCTTTGTTTATTATTATTTAACGATTGTGTTCCAGAAACAGCAACAGCAGCATTACTAGTAGTAGTGGTGATGGTGGCGTTGACGGTGGTGGTGGTGGTGGTGTTAGTAGCCAATCTTTTATGTCTATTCATCATTTGTTGTTCTTCATGATGATAAACATCAACAAAATGACGTTTAAAACTTTTTTTCTGTTGATGATTATCAATAAAACGTCGATGTAGATGATGATGATGATGATGATTGTGATTTTGATGATTACGATTATGATTAAAATTCAAATGTTTCGAATGTTGATGATGATGATGAATATCATCACCATTTACAACATCAACATCATCATCATCATCATTATCATCTACTTCATTATCAATTTTTTCGGATTTTTCATTCTAATTATCATCATTGATTCATTGTTATCATCATCATTATCATTAGTTTTTGCATTACCATTATCATCATGATGATCCACAATATCATTGTCATCATCGTCATCACTGATTGATGAAACATTTGTTACATGATCACTATCAATATCACTTGTATTCGTTGTTGTTGTTGTTGTTGTTTTCATTGATTTTTTCATCAAATTCAATACATCATTATCATTTGAATTACTATTCGATATTTCATTTTTAACCATTATCGATTGTTGCTGTTTATGATCGTCATCATCATCTATGATCTTCAATTTATTACCACTATCCTGTGATGAATGTGTTGAATTTGCCGGTGAATGATTTATCGATACATTATCCAATGAATTTATTGTCGACTGTTTTTGTTGTTGTTGTTGTTGACATTCAGTATCATTACTATGTGAATTAGGTCTAGATTTTTCCATATCATCATTATTATCGTCTTTACGATTATCGATCGATCGATTTTGCTGTTTATTATATGTGTGTGATTGAAATAAGAAAAATTGGAATTTTGGAGTTTTTTGTTGAAATTTAAAAATCTCTCTTTTTTTTATCTAAAGATAAACTTACCTCTTGTTCAGAATCACTAATGATTTCCAATTTATCCGTATCGATTGAACGCCAAATTTTTGGTTGTCCATTTTGATTTGTTTTCACTGCAGAATAAGATGATTGTGTTTGCTGTTGTTGTTGTTGTTGTACTGTTGTTGTATGCGGTAAACCTGATGATGATGATGATGATGATAATCCTGGTGAATTATTATTATTCACAGTAGAATTTGAATGAAAAAATGATTCTGTATTTGGAAATGCAGCCGCTGTACCCGATCCAACTGGATATGCACCAGATGTAAATGCAGCACCCATTGGATGATGATGATGATGATGTGGATGAGGATGAGAATGAGGATGATAAGGATAAAATGGTAATGATGAATGTAAAAATGATTGATTTGAATGAGCAAATAATGAATGAGCTTGATAAGCGGCAGCAGCCGCAGCAGCAGCAGCAGCTGCTGCTGTTGTTGTTGTTGTAGATAAATTTGATGATCCCGTTACCGGTGATGAACGTGTTTGTGTTGTTGTTGTTGATGATGATGGTGATGGTCCTTCCGGTGAATTTAACATATTACGATTATTCAATATTGATGATGGTGTTGTTTGATGAAGAGAAGGATGAGGAATAATCGGTAGTGTTGGTGGCGGAAGTGGTGCTGCTGCTGCGGCTGCTACTGCTGCTGGCAATGATTCATGATTAATAATTGATCCATGATTATTATTATTAGATGATAATGATTTTGATGATGATTCTAATGATTTGTGTCCAAATAATGTTTCTGATCCAATAAAAGCAGATGAATGATTAACATGATGATTAGTTGATGGTGGTTGTAATGGATGACTAGCTTGTGATGATGTACCAATAATATTTGGTGAACGTTGTGATGATGGTGAATGATGATGATGATGATTATTATGATTAGGATGTGATGATGGTTGAATCGGTAGATGATGATTTGGATACAATGAAGATTGTTGTTGCTGTTGTTGTTGTTGTTGTAATTGCATTTCATAAGCAGCTTCATATTTACGTCTTGTTAAACGCATAAATGCAGCAAGTCTTGTATGACGATTCTGTCTAATACGTTGAAATGTTTCCCATCTTGATTGTGGTAATTGTAATTTTTTCTGATATGATGATGATGTTGTAGATTGTGTAGTTGATGATGGCGGTGGTGGTGGTGGTGGTAATGAAAATTTTCCATGATGATCAAATGATGATGATGATATGTAATTTTTTTGCTGTTTACTCAATAATGATTCCGATTGATGATGTTGTTGTTGTTGTTGTTGTCGTCTTTTATTTGTTGTTGTTGTTGTTGCTGCTGCTGCTGTCATTGTTATCGATTCATTTGTTGTCACTCGACAATCATCATTATGATGATTCGATTGATGATGGTGATTAGTGATCATTGATGATGATGATGATGATGATGATGATGATGGTTGATCATTCGACCAATCTGGTAATCTAATCAGATGAAATTTTTAGGATTAAATTTTTTTTCTTTACCATTAGATTTCATTTCAGTAAAGTTCAAAAAAAAAAAATAATTTAATGGAAAATTTTCATTTTTACAAATACAAATTGTGACACGTGTCGCTTTCAAGTGGCTCAGATGAATAATTTTTTTTTTTTTTTTTGCAATCATCACGAATCAAACAAAACACGTGTTTCGGTTTTTGTTGTTGTTGTTGTTGTTGTTGTTTGATGCATATGACACGCGTTTCAAATGATATTATCCTAAATGCTAAAATTCATTCATCATTGATCGATAGATAGAGAGAAAAAAAAGAAAATTCTTAAAGCGCACGTTTTTGCATGCATGCAAATGCATTATTATTCACGGGACAAGAATTTTTTCTTGTTTGCCAATGAAAATTTTTTTTTTTTGCTATTCTACAATGTCAAATGGTGTGTGTGTGTGTGTGTGTGTGTCTTAGATATTTATTACGCATTTCAATTAACACACACACACACACACACACACACACGAAATCAACGAGCCAAAATTAATTACCAATTAACAAAACGATTAATTTCGTCGTCGTCGTCGTCGACGACCAATTATCATTGTGTGTGTGTGTGTGTGATTTAAATGAAAAAACCCGGAAAAAAAAAAAAAAAAAAAACAGCATGAACTACTACTGTGTATATATGTGAAGAATCAATTTTATGCATCAAAGAATTTTGATGTTCTGTAAAAAATGATTAAAATGCAATTAACCACCACCACCACCACCACCAAGACCACCACCAGCAGCAGCATCGATGATGATCATGTAATTTTATTTATCAACAAATCACACTTATTTAACCCCTGAATTTCTTGGTTATCATAACGGCCAATCTTGTCATTATAGTTTTTATTGTGGCAACGAACAAACAGACAGAAAAAAATGTTTTGTTTTTTTTTTGCATATCAATCAAAATGATAATTATCATCATGTTTTCATAGTCAAGTAATAATGATTTAATCACTGAAATGAAATGCAAATAAAAAAACTTTTCAATTAATTCATTTTGAGGGAATAATTCTCAGTCAACCAGAATATACAATCCGGCACACACATTTTATCGTTCAATTTTTTTTTTTTCACACACACACACACACACATTTTATCGTTCAATTTGAATTTTTCGCTTGCTCGAATCATCATACAAAGTCATCAAAATTGCAAGTGTCAAATGGATAAGCGTTAAAAATGAAAAATCAACAACCAATCAATGTTGATCAATTTCAAATACACGTGTCAGTGATCAATACAATAATGAAATAATAAAATAACCACTTACTTTCTCATTGAATCAATTTTATGCATTTCTTCGAAAAAATGTTGATTTATATCAATACCATCCAATGATATTGAACAAATTGGACAATATAGTACATTATTATTACCATTTCCATTGTTATTACCATTATTTGTTGTCATTTGGCCACCAATCAATGATGATGATGATAATGATGATGATTGTTGCCCGCCATTGTTATTCATATTAGAAAATTGATTTCCCGTTATTGTTGCTGCTATTGATGATGATGATGAATTGGCTGCTGTTGGACCTGATTGTCCCATTGGTGGTGAACTTGGTGTACGTGTGGCAATCCGGTGACAATTTCCTGTATATGCTATATATATATAATAATAGTTTCCGGAATTGTTTTTGGTTGACATTTTAAACATATAATTCATTACTACTTACGTGATTCAGCTGTAGTTGATGCCACTTCTGATCCAACAACATCGATTATCATTGATTTACGTTGTTTATGATTATTAAATGGTATAATTGATTCATTTGTTGCTGCTGCTGTTGCCGTTGCTGTTGTTGTTGTACCACCTAATGGACTGAATAATATTGGTGATAATAATGATGTTGCTGATGATGATGATGATGATGATGTCGATGTTGATGTTGTTGATGAAGATAAAGATGATGTTGGTCCACCATTATGATGGACATGATGACCCAATGATGATCTTAATGTTGTTTGATGATGATGATGATGATTATCAATCTGTGGTGATAAATGTCCTTGTTGTTGTTGTTGTTGCTGTTGCTGTTGTTTAGCCATCATATTTGTTAATGGCATTAATGGATGATGATGATGATGATGATTAATTGGAACATTATTTGATTGACCACCACCACGATGATTATTACCAGATGATGATGTTGCAGCAGCAGCAGCGGCTGCTGCAGCCGCTGCTGCATACATTGCTGATAATGTATTGTTATTATTATTATTAGGTGATTGTTGCTGTTGTGTTGGTGGTGATAATTTTGATTCATTTAATTCATTAAGTTTTTTTCCTGTTCCATTCATAAAATGTGTGCGTGTGTGTGTGTGTTACAAAATTTGTCATTTGTTTTTTTTTTCATTCGTTTAATAAAATAATAATGAAACTTACCTGAAGATTGTAGACCAAGCGTAAATGCAGCATTTGGTGTCATTCTTGCCGCTGCATTTGCTAATAATGATGATAATTGTTGTTGTTGTTGTTGCTGCTGCTGTTGTTGTTGTTGTTGTTGTGAATATAGATATGATTGACCTGTAGATTGTTGTTGTTGTTGTCCAGATTGTTGTTGTTGTTGTTGACCATAAAAAGCAGCAGCAGCTGCCGCAGCAACATGTAATGGAAATGTTCCTGGAAACATTTGTGCCAATGTTGATGACATTGCTGCCGGTACATTACCGGTTGCTATTGCTGCATGTAATAAACTTGCAGCGGCTGCATTATTTGCCATAATTGATTGTTGTTGTTGTTGTTGTTGATGATTATTATGTGGTGATGTTGATGTGATTAAATCATTACCATTCTTATTTGAAGCGGTAGTAGCAGCAGCAGCAGCAGCAGCCGCTGCAGCAGCTAATAATGAATTTGTTGTAGGTAATGTTGGACTTGGTGGTGATTTTGATGTTGTTGATGATGATGATAAATTATCTGGTGAACGTATTGTACCGATATTGTTTGAACCAATCATAACATTATGATGATGATGCGGATGTGAATGCGGATGTGGATGTGAATGTGGATCCATATTGGAATTAATTGATGATGCCGATAATTGTGTTTGTTGTTGTTGTTGTTGTTGTTGTGTAGATAATAAATTCAATGGTGACATCATCATTGTTAATTGTCAATTAAATAAATGATGAGAAAATTAATCAATGTTATAATGTAACACAGTGAAGCCGCCCACACACACTTGAATATTTTTAAATTTTGTTGAAAAATTTAGCTGGACAAAAAAAAATGACCAAGTGTTAAGAACTCAAGAACCAAATTGAAAATGATTTTTCGATCATAACTTGCGTTTGTGTGTGTGTGTGTGTGTGTGTGTGTAACTTGATTATCACTCAGCATTATATTGTTGCGCTAGTTGTTGTTGTTGTTGTTGTTCATTTCAATCACCTTTTATGTGTATATATATTATATACTGTAAAACAGTAGCCACAAGAAACTATCTCTCTCTCTCTCTTTTTCTCACTGTCACAGTATATGTGTGTGTGTATGTGTGTGTATCATCATCAAACTAAACCTTAACTAACTGGAACTTATTTCTCAACTAGCTGAACAACTGTGAAATAAAAAAAAAAACTAAACTCTGTATGACTTTACTTGACTGACTGAATGACTGACTGACTGACTGACTGATTGTATGAGTGAATGAATGACTAACTTGGATCTTACTTCTATCTAGGCAAAACACACAACACACACACACACACACACACACCAAAAACAACCAACCAACCACAAATTTCTCATATTCTTTTTTTTTGGAGTTTTTTTCATTATTATTGAAAGTTGTGTATGTGAGAGAGAGAAAGAGAGAAAGATACACTCAATACATGATGAACATTTTCTTCCATGTGTGTGTGTGTGTATATGATGAGAGTTAAACATACTTGTATGTTATTCTCTCTCTCTTTGGTACAACTTCTACTATCTTTTCATCATTTTGAATTGAATTTGGTACATACACACACACACACACACATATATATATATATATATATGGTATATGAAGTACCAGTATTCCAGAAACCGAAATACTGAAAAGGGCAAAAAAAACAAGACCCAGAGTAAAATAGTAAACTTCAACTTCAAGCAAGCTACACACACACACAGTCATCATCATCATCTGGTATACTACTCTGGTGATGATGATCATCATCATCATGATCTTCTGTCACTTATTTTTTTTGGGTAACACACTTACACATAATCATCATCATCATTTTTTTTCCTGGTGGTAGTAGTATATGAGTAAATATAGTTAGTAAATAGTAGTAGCAAAATTTTGATCCAGAATAAATGGTGGTGGCTTTTATTTCGTTTTTTTGGTTTTTGGAACTCTGGAACACATTTTAAGAATGAATGAATGAATAGTGTGTGTATGTATAGAGACAGAGATACTTTGAAGTTCACTAAAACTTATTTTTACCAAATGTGTCTATGTTGGTGTTTAGTTTACTATTACCTACATCATGAACAAAAAAAAAAAAGTCTACTGAGTCTGAGTCTGAGTATGTGTGTGTGTGTGTGTGTGTGTGTGTAATAAGTTACTTCCTTTTTTTCTTTCTCTTACTCCAAAAAAAAAAACACACACACACACACACATGAACTAAGTGTCAGTAACACAGTGTTAGTAGTATAGTCAGTATAGTGAAAAAATTTTTTTTTTACACGGTGGTTTTTTTTCATTGGCCAAAATTTTTACACACACACACACACACACACACTGTTTTTCTGTTATATATACTCTGTCTGTGTGTGTGAATGAAGAAATTTTTTTTTTTTAGTCACTGCCTTCCAAATTCAATATTTGGTAACTCCCTCAAAATCATCATCATCATCATGACCATGATGATGATGATGATGATGAGAAATACTAGTCATTCACTTACTTACTCAATCTTTTTTTTTCTGTGAATAAATGAATGAATGAATGAATGAATGAATGGATGGAAAGCCAGTTCCAGAAACAGTTTTCTGGTGTATTTGTAGAGAGAATTTTTTTTTTCTATTTTTGAAGTTGAGTTTGAGTTTGAGCACATCATATGATGACCATCATCATCATCATGATAATCATTGACTTTGGTTTTTTTTTATATTCATGTGTGTGTGTGTGATTCGACTCGATGTTGGATTTAAAAAAAAAATCCGAGTCTGTCGAATACGAAAAAAATTTTGGTTTTTTTTCTGGATTTGACCTAATTTTCTATAACTAAATCGACTATATCATCATCATCATTTGGTTGTTTTCTACTGTGTTTTTTGGGCGTCATTAATAGACAAAATCGTTGCATACCAACCACCCAAAATCAGATATAGATTCATATTTGAAATTGAATGTTGACTGATTATGCTCGAATTTCGGTTTTATTTTCATTTGGAATGAAAAGGATTGAGTTTGCCAATGCCATTTTAATGATCATGATGATGATGATGATGATGATGGAGATTCTAAATTAAATTAACGATCATAATGCAATTATAATGAAAGACTTCCACCACCACTCCCCCCCAAAAAAAAAAATATGATCCAATGGGCAGAAAACTTGAACTAGAAAATTCATTTTCTGTCTCTCTCTCTCTCTGTCTATTGACATAATCATCATGTTGATTATAAAGTTCCTGATCAGTTTAGTTTCCATCGTGTGGTTCATAGATTGTGGGCGTTGTTCTAAAAGTCGAGTGATTTAAAATAAAGAACAAGATGATGATGAATGGAAATGTTGCCTTTTAATAATTTAATTTAATCCAAATTGAATAGACAGTTGTCCACCAATGTCCAATGTCTTGAAGGTTATATTAAGGTCATTGAAAATGCAATCATATTTCACACCTATTCCAGTGGAAAGCAAATTATCATGAATGATTTTAAACGAATCTACAATAATGAATATAATTTGATGATAAACAACCGAAAAAAAAGAGAGAGAGAGAGAGAGAGAAAAGTTTTTGACATTAGCATCCATATATTTATATGATCATGATGATGATACATGTGGCAATTTATTTTCTTTCTCAATTTAGTTTATGTATATTGCGTGTATTTATAAATTCATTGCGATAATTTGCTTTGCTTAGAAATGGAGAGAAAAAGAGAGAGAAACTTGTTAGTGTGTGTGTGTGTGTGTGATTGGTATGTGTAAGCGCCCTATCATCATCATCATCATCATCAAAATGATGTGATTTTGCAAAACTTTTTTTTTTTATTTTTTTCTGTTTTTTTTTATTTTTTCCACAACAGTATAAGCATCATCAGTGTTAATGATCATGCGCATGGATATATCCATATGGGGTATATATATATACAAATTGAGCCAATCAGAGTATTGAATGGGCGGTACTATCATTGTAATTGTAACACCTTTTTTCTGTACAGATCAACCAATTAGAATCATTTTCCCTTTCACAATTCATTCAGTGCATCATTTTATTTTTTTTTTTTGATTTTTTTTTTCGTTTCTGGTTTCGAAAATTGAAAAAAAAATTGGCCACAAAAACATGACACACACACACACACACACACAAACGGACAACAAATCGAAAACCAGAAATAAATATAAATAAATAATCAAAAGCCACACACACACACACACATAAAGTTTTCATTCGAATGTTTTGAATGTCAATTTCCATTTGTTTTTATTTTTCAATTTCATTTCGAAATATGAGATTAACAAACTGATGAATGAATGAATGAAATAACCGGATGATAGAATGATGGAATGTGACTGAATTCAACCACACACACACACATGCACACAGAGACAGCAAACAAGATCATCATATCCGCCTCAATTTTTTGTTTTTGTTTGACATGACAACATCATGTGCGAAATTAATTAAATATTTGGAATGTTGTTGTCGTTGTTGTATTTTGACATTTTTCAATATATGGTGGTGGTATATGGTGGTGGTTTATTTGGTGTTCAGAATCATTATTGGTTATTTGGTTAAATTCACAGATGACATGACATGAGAATGATGATCGAAAAAAAAGATTTCTATTTTTGGGCTTGTTTTTATTTCTTACTTTTGGAATGGAAAAGGAATTTTCATCGTTATCATCGATTGATTGAATGTACTGCGATGATGATCGTGATCATATTCAAGAGCCATTGAAATGTCATACTATTAATCGAAGTTTGTACACAAAAAAAGGGTTTCGTTTGCCTTTCTAAAGAAAAAAAAATGACCATAGAGTTTACCGATTCGAATGAATGAATGAATGAAAAAATAAAAAAAAATCCAACACCTGACCATAAGTTTTAAAGTTCCAGAAAACCTTCAACGAGACCGCTTGACGACATAGCTCTGTATGGGTTCTATTTTTTCTCACCTTTTTTTTGAAATGGCAAACAATACGAGACAAAAAAAAGAATGCCGACTTTTTTTGGAATGGTCAAATCAACAAATGGTCCAAGTTTTTTTTCAGGGTCCATGAAATGACCATGTTTCATGATGATGATGATGATGATTGAGTTCATTCTATTAGGTCTACCCAGGTATTTTTTTTCCATATTATTAGGTGTTTGTTGAGTAACTCTTACTAACTCGTCATTTTTTTTTTCTTTCTCCTTACACACTCACTGTGGAACATACAGTCCATTCAAATCGGTATTTCTCTCTCTCTGTGTGTATGTTGAACACGTGCACGTTAAAAAATTTTCCGAAAAAAAACCTGTAAAATAACAATTGACCGAATGAATGCAAAAAAAGAATAAAACACACACACACACACACAGTCAATTGACCAGTTCAAATTTACACTGGACAACAGTAGAAAAAAAGTGTGAAAATTTTCAAAAAAATAAAAAAAAATAAATAAGATGACCATCCAAAGAATTCCTTTCTGGTTGTTGTTGTTGTTGTTGTTGTTGAAAATTTTGAATAAAAAAAAAATTTAAATTATGTACTCTTTTTTTTCTGTACAACCAAACACAAGTGCTATTGGGTCATTTTTTTTCCAACGTGAAAAAGTCAACAAAATTTTTGTCCCTTCTTTTTTTTCTATGTTCCAAATAATAATAAAAATGATATTGATCCAAGAGAAAAAAAAGCCGTCCATATTGTCAACTTCAGTGTGTGTGTG